CATCCCATATTCTCCAATCACAAATAATCACCAAATTCAAGATTCGCCAAACTCACAAAAAAATGAGCAGATTGAACGCAAATGCCAAGCCATTCTTCCCAGGTGCACAAACAGCACGACAAGTGTCCAATCAGCCGTTAGATAGCACAAGGGAAGAGAGGTCATTATTCATGACCTTCTCAATTGGGTCGCCCCTAGTGTGGAGAGAAATCAGCCAGCATTTCAAAAAGTGAATATATTTCAATATATATTATCATTTTTTTTTTAATCAAGCGAGTTAGTCTGCGAATGAATTAAAAAGAAAAGAAAAAAAAAATTATGAAAATATATTTCATGCATGATAATATTTAGTTTGACTGACTTTGTTTTTTCTAATCACTCGTGTTGTGACAGTGAGTACGGGGAATGCGTGGAAAATGTGTATGTGCACGACGGACATAGTGTTGGTCGACCGAATAAAGAATTCGAGTTCGGAAGGACCCTCTTCACAAATGCAGAGGTGCCCAATATGATAATGGGCAATAATGAAAAAGTGAAGCTACGGGTTGGGGGCAAGCCTCTTTGGTTGAAGAGATATGTCGCTCTAGATCAACGGCCCAAACAATAACTACAAATCGTTATATATATTTTTTTTTAATATATATATGGCATATTTGAATGTTGTCTTTCGGGGTTTTCNATTTTATCTCCTTTTTTGGGGGTTGAGAACTTACATATATCAAGTGGTATGGGTATCGATATGATATCTTACGGTTTGAGAAGATGAAATGTTTGAGCACTCCAAATAAAGAGGTAGTTCAATTTCCTTGCATTTAAAAAACCTGAAGTCTCTCTATGTGATATTATTTAAATAAGCCAAATAATTTTAAGTTAAAAGCAAAAGCCAAGAAAAGGGGACAAACAAAACATCTGAAACAATGGATAATCCTATTGAACCAAATGGAGTGAACAATTATGAACATGCATTTATTTTAATTGTAACACTTGAGGATGGTATGCATTTGCTGTCCACATATGCGCTCGACTTGCACCTCATAATAAAAGCGACTGAATTACTAAAGGTCTATGCAACGCTTGCGCAACACTTTCACATATGTGCAATGTCAATGCAAATATTTTTGTAGGACTTCAAAAAGGTAACTTCCGTAGTTGTTCCTTAAATGTGCACAGTTCAATATTTCATGATCTATAACTGCATACCTTACACTAGTTACATTCAGTTGAGTACAAAATCTCCATGCATGTAAGCAGAACGAAAAAAAAAAACTAAAAGTTGTCCGGGGACATGTGGCATTATAATATATAACATGGTCTCTTTCTACTTTTAAGGTGGATTTTTTCCCACTTAAACACATATCAGTACTATAAATCAATCCACAATAGTATGATTCAGAGCATAAGTCAGTTCATAATGATCTCCATGTCAATTTTACATGTCTAAGCAAAAATGACCTCGACATGTGCTAAAATTTAGGAATCTATTTATTGGCGTTTGGATGTTTTTCTTTTCAGAAAATGTTGGATTTCAAGAAGCCAAAGGTTGACGAACAAGGTTATTCCACTCACATTCGATCTTGTACGCGATTATCTGTTAAGATTCTACTAACAGGTTTTAGTATTTCCGCTACATTGGCCATAAACTGCACATAGCAAGAAATTGTTGGAAAAAATAATGTGATTAGGTAAAAAGATTTTACGACTCAAACCTGAAAAGAGAATTCAAATACCTGTTATATTTAATTATCAGAATTCTAGATCACGATTCTCAGAACACTCTGTTGTGTTGGTTGAAAGTGAAACATTGCTTCCGGATTGCTGTAATTGTAAATAAGTACAAGAAATCACACCCTATCACAATACGATAAAAAGAAATCGAACAAAGGAGTCTAAAAACACATTCATTGCTATGAAAGATGAACAGTTTCAGAAAGAAAAATTAGGCTGTGCTTGGAGAACATTAACTACTCATAACAAAATGAAGTTCCAAGAACATGAGAATACTACTTTTATGAAGTTTCAGTTTATATTTGCTGCCACTCTATTTCACTTGTATACAAATATTTTTGTTGTGCTGAGTGCCTGAGTGATTCCAAACCACACCATCAAATGTATACTTTCGGAACATGCAGGTCCAGAAAGATAGAAAGAGTAAAAATAGAAACAGTAAAAATCACTTATTTTCAGTAAACATTGACAAGAGAAAAGAACCTTTTAGAAGCCTCCAACTTCTGTCTAAGCTCAGCAATCCCAGCTTCCGAGGCAGCTAATGTCTGTTGGGCTTTTGCCTCAGCTTCAATCGCAATTTTAACTCTCAAATCCAGATTCTGCTCATCAAGAGAGGAATTGAGACTTTGAACATGAGCCCATGCCTTGATCTCTGAACTTGTAGCTTCGCTAATTTTCCTGCATACAAATTAATGGTTAAAAGATAGAAGAGTATGAACCGGATTCATTGTTTAATAGGGATAGGTAAAGCAGTTACTGATAAATTTCACATGATAGTTGAGAAGATCAACCATTTGTCAGAATTACAAATATCCATCAAGGCACTGTGACAAATATGGTGGTATTTGTATTCTGTTAGATGGAAGTCTTTTTGTAACTAAGCTAAACCTCAGGAGTTTCTTCTTTTAGGTATGTCCTAAAAATATATTTGTTTGGTTATCTCCATTTGCATATAAAAGCACAATTTTTCCAAGATAGTTCTATATACTAATAAACATAGTTTGCAGATAAACTTGTGATTCAATAAAGGTGATACAGCTAAATGTTTCACCGACTTCCCTAGCTTGCATATAATCACTGGAATAGAAACACCATAAAACAACACTGAGGCATGCCAACCTTGAATCAGTTGATTAATGCTCCTACATTTCATGTTTCTGTAAACCTTAAACATGTATCCACATATTAAAAGTTTTGGAAGTTCAAGATCAAATCTTTATTTCTTTCAACAATAGAGTGACAGTTATTACTCATCCTTGCATTGTAATCACAGCACATTATACAACACATGGCCTCTTACCAATCCAAGAAAACATCGAATGTGATATTGAAAAATATGCAGTAACCTATTCATGTTATGATGTTCTTTTTTAATGATTTCATTTTTCTTTTTCTATACTTGTGAAATAGATTACTGTATTTGTTTTTGCTTATGGTATTTTTTTGGCCAGACATCGATGAGTGGAACCCAGAACCACTCTTAGGTTACCATACAAGATGGCGATCGGAATTAACCGGAAATATTGCAGTGAACGGAATCTTGAAGCTCCCAAACGAGATGATCACGTTTAAAGACATTTGCATGGAGGCGAATGACAGAAGATTATTTTTAAGCTTTAAGAACTGCGACATATATTTAATTGCGTTCAAGAGAGATGTTCAAACCAACAACAACATGACAAGAAATGAAGGCATCAGAGGATGATCCGTGGCTTATCACAGAACCAGCGAACAGGCTCACCATGCGCAGTAGCTACAACGCACTACATTCTGTCGGTCATTTAAGACGATAAAAGGCAGTTGAACACTAATCTTAGCGCCATCGAGGATTCCGTCATGGACTTGCTAAACCCGCAATGCACCGTGAAGAAAATGGCTCGCGCAATCTTGCGTATGTTGCTCGTGTTTCTGGAGAGTGCCCATTTGATCCAAGTGGAGGCGTATGTTAGGGAGCGATGTGTATGGGACAATGATCAAGGGCGCAAGCGACATGATATTTTTTTTTTTGGTATGACACCAATTTGGACGATCTTAAAACCAACTAGAAAAAGTTATCTTCGATTTTAGCGAGCAATTTGGATGATAGCAAGGAGCCGCCCCAGCTAGCAGCTTCCGGTCTGACGACTAGCGACGGGACTCTCATCACCAGGGTTGGGCAAACGAGGCACGAGGTTAGGTTTTTGCATGGGAGATCTCATCTGGCTTAGATGATCAAATGAAGATATCTGTCTGTTCCATTTTATTTTTTTTTTCCTTTTGTCTTTTGTAATGAAGAGACTCATTGTAGGATTTGTATTCTACTTTTTTTTTCTATTTTCAAGAAATTTGACTTTACTTTAGGAGATAAGAGTGAGTCAGTTTAGAAAGTGGAATATAAATCCTACAAGGAGTCTTTTCATTACAAAAGAAAAAAGAAAAGAAAAATAAAATGGAACAGACAAACATTTTCATTTGATCATCTAAACTAAATGGATCTCCATGCAAAATCCGAACCTCGTGCCTCGCTTGCCCTGGTGATGAGAGTCTCATCGCTAGTCGGCAGACCGAAAGCTGCTAGTTGAAGCGGATCCTCGCTATCACCTAAATTGTTCGCTGAAATCGAGCAGAGCTTTTTCCAGTTGATTGTAAGATCGTCCAAATTGGTGTCATACCAAAAAAAATATCATGTCGCTTGCGCCCTTGATCAGTCCCCCATACACATCGCTCCCAACATACGCCTCCACTTGGGTCAAACGGGTACTCTCCGGAAACTCGAGCAACATACGCAAGATTGTGCGAGCCATTTTATTCGCGGTGTATTGCGGGTTTAGCAAGTCCATGACGGAATCCTCGAAGGCGCTAAGATTAGTGTTCAGCTGCCTTTTATCGTCTTATCGTCTTTTAAATGACCGACAGAACGCAGTGCATTGTAGCTACTGCGCATGGTGAGCCTGTCTGCTGGTTCTGTGATAAGAACCGAATCATCCTCTGATGCCTTCATTTCCTGCCATCTGTTGGTTTCAACGTCTCTCTTGAACGCGATTAAATATAGGTCACAAGTCTTAAAGCGTAAAAACAATCTTCTGTCATTCGCTTCCACGCAAATGTCTTTAAACGTGGCCATCTCGTTTGGGAGCTTCAAGATTCCGTTCACTGCAATATTTTCGATTAATTCCGATCGCCATCTTATATGTTAACCTAAGAATGCTTCTGGGTTCCACTCCTGGCCAAAAAAATACCATAAGCAAAAACAAATACAGTAATCTATTTCACAAGTATAGAAAAACAAAAAGAAAAAGAAAAACGAAATCAGTAAAAAAGAACACCATAACATGAATAAGTTACTGCATATTTTTCAATATCACCATTTGATGTTTTCTTAGATTGGTGAGAGGCCCTATGTTGTGTAATGTGCTGTGATTACAATGCAAGGATGGAGTAATAACTGTCACTCTCTTTCTCTTGTTGAAAGAAATAAAGATTTGATCTTGAACTTCCAAAACTTTTAATATATGGATGTAGATTACAGGTTTAATGTTTACAGAAACAGACATGAAGCTGGAAATGTAGGAGCATCAATCAACTGATTTAAGGTTGGCATGCCTCAGTGTTGTTTTATGGTGTTTCTATTACTGTGATTATATGCAAGCTAAGGAAGTCAGCTGTAACACCTTTATTGAATCACAAGCTTATCTGCAAACTATATCTATTAGAATATAGAACTATCTTGGAAAAATGTGCTTTTATATGCAAATGGAGATAACCAAACAAATATATTTTTAGGACATACCTAAAAGAAGAAACTCCCGAGGTTTAGCTTAGTTACAAAAAACTTCCATCTAACAGAATACAAATACCACCATATTTGTCACAGTGCCTTGATGGATATTTGTAATTATGACAAATAGTTGATCTTCTCAACAATCATGTGAAATTTTTCACAGTAATTGCTTTACTTATCCCTATTAAACAATGAATCCGGGTTCATACTCTTCTATCTTTTAACCATTAATTTGTGTGCACGAAAGTTAGCGAAGCTACAAGTTCAGAGATCAAGGCATGGGCTCATGTTCAAAGTCTCAATTCCTCTCTTGATGAGCGGAATCTGGATTTGAGAGTTAAAGTTGCGATTGAAGCTGAGGCAAAAGCTTGCTGCCTCGGAAGCTCGGAAGCTGGGATTGTTGAGCTTAGACAAAAGTTGGAGGCTTCTAAAAGGTTCTTTTCTCTTGTCAATGTTTACTGAAAATAAGTGATTTTTACTGTTTCTATCTTTCTCTTCTACTCAAGAATCAAAAACAGGTTTTCCACATAAATTACCTTGCTAAGTTGGAGGCTTCTTGGTTCTAGTATGGCAAGAACTTGTTGGAAAAAATGATGTGATTAGGTCAAAAGATTTTACGACTCAAACTTGAAAAGAGAGCAATGTTATCAATGGCGGATGGCGGTCCATGGCGGAAAGCCAAAAAACCGCCATATTTATATGGCGGATGGCGTAGCGGAAAATGGCGGACCCAAAAATATATATATATATATATATATATATACATATAAAATTTACATATGAACAAACACAAACACCTAAAAACATGTCAATTTTCACAAAAAGGAGGCATTAGTTTCACAACATAACAACATACCAAGCATCATTCAAATTTCAACGTGTTCAAATTAACCACACACATTAACCAAGCATTATTCATATTTCCATCCGATGTCGTTTTTAGTGTTGGACCTGCTAGCCCGTGAAGGGACCCCGTCTGACATTTCATGAAATTTATAAAATGAATACTTTGTCAAATCTGATTCTTAAAATAATAATAATAACAATAATAAGCTTATAAACTTCAACACTAAGCCACCAATAATATAACTAATGTGAATATACACGTTATAAAGCACAATGTAGCAATTAGCAAAATCTAAGTATAAATTTAAATACACATTAAACATAAAGCTCTCATTCCATACTTTCAGTTTCAGTAAACTGAACAAAAAAAAAAACTGAAAATAGAAGGAAAATAAAAAAAAAAATCTGAAACTGAAAAAAAAAATAAAGCTTTCTTTCATTCACTTATTCACATAAAGCTTTCTTTCCATACTTTCAGTTTCTTTCCATTCACTTATTCACATCATTAATCATCAATTATGAAATGAAGGGAAAAAAAAAGTTGCCCTACATCTGAAACTGAAAATAGAAGGATGAAAAAAGAACTTACTAGTGATTGAGAGCCGCCTTGCCAGAGCTGGAGTCGTCTTGAGTCGCCGGTCGGAGGGTTGGGTCAGTAGAGAGCGCACGGTAGCAACAGATAGGGAGAGTTTGAGGAGGGTAGGGTTTTTGTGTTTTAGGAAGAGAGAAGCCGATCCGTATGTATTCTGTGTTTTAAAGTTTAATTTTTCTTTTTTTTTTTNTTTGTGGTAATTAAAAAAAAGATAAGAAAGAAATGGCACAAATAAGACAAAAAAAAAAGTAAATTATAAATAAATTCTAATTTTTTGATATAATTCAAGATAAAATTTTGTACACTATCTTTAATATTTTGTAAATTTCAATATTATTATTCATTCTGATGTATTATTATCAAAACAAAAATATTCATCTGCAAAGAAACACATTAAGTCGTATATAACAAGATCTCATAATTTTTCTCAATATTAAATTATACTAGACATGGGTACATTGGTAGGAGAGATAATATTTCTCAATATATTGGATCAAAGAATTTATTATAATTCTATTTTTTAGTCAATTTCGTAGTTGACATAAATTTTCATTGACAATAATTCTCTAACATAACGATTATTATAATAGCATGCGACGTCATGATAGATTTATACAAAGATACAAGAGAGAAATAAGACATTATAATATGAGAGAAAAAGAAAAAAAAAAAAAACTACTTAATAAACAACTTCAGTTACCAATTATTTTGTTAAAATTACACAATTTATATTTATTTTTTTGGAAATATATATTATAAAAAATTATGTAATAAAAAATTAAAAATTAAAATTCCAAGTGGGGCCTAGGCCCCACCTGGATAAGCTATGGATCCGCCCCTGGCATGGCGCCGCCATTGCAAATCCGCCGTATAACGGATAACGGGATGACGGAAAAGCCAAAAACCGCCACGCCATTTCGCCATGGCGGAAATTTAATAACACTGAAAGAGAGTTCAAATACCTGTTATATTTAATTATCTGGATTTTAGATCACGATTTTCAGAACATTCTGTTGGGCTGGTTGAAAGTGAAACATTACTTCTTGATTGCTGTAATTGTAAATAAAAACAAGAAATCACACCCTGTCACAATACGATAAATATAAATCGAACTACAAAGGAGTCTAAAAACACATTCATTGCTATGAAAGATGAATAGATTCAGAAAGCAAAATTAGGCTGTGCTTGGAGTACATTAACTACTCATAACAAAATGAAGTTCCAAGAACATGAGAATACTGTTTTTATGAAGTTTCAGTTTATATTATGCTGCTGCCAATCTATTTCACTTGTATTATAAATATTTTTGTTGTGCTGAGTGCCTGAGTGATTCCAAACCAGACCATCAAATGTATACGTTCTGAACATGCAGGTCCACGTGAGTTCTTACTTTTTAGAGAACCCTAAAAGATCTTTCCGTACATACTTTCCCAGAAAAGGGCAGATCGAAAGAGAATAATTGATTTCAATAACTATTACTGAAAAGACAAATCGAAAGAGAATCATTTATTACACTAACAATTTCTCAGTAACCATAATTTAGTCAAGATCTAAAATTTTTCCTTATATGTACTGTCATTACGTACCTGATCCTCCGCATGAAAACAGGCACGTGGCCTCTCCGGACTCATGGAACTTCTTTCGAACAGGTTCCAAAACCATATAAATCTTAGATAACATAAATTGAACCTGACACATAAATATGTTTGTAAAAAATTAGACCATGTCAGAGTTTCTTTTTTGGAAGATTATGTATGTATTCATGCATATCCCAGAAAATTAAATCAACTATAACACAATTTATTTCTCTATGATACTAACTCCAAACAGTGACAAATAGAAACTTAGGCTCGAAATGTTCAAAACTGCCAACCAAAACAGACTTAGAGGTTTGGTTTTTCTTTTTCATTTTCTTCTCTTTTCTGGAAAGTAGTATAACAATGCTAATAAGAGGCAAATACTACGAACTTGAACAGAATAACTCAGACAAAACTTACGTGATTTACCACAAAGAATGTCTTCCAAACTTAGAAAATATCAATGTTTAATATCACCAAGCACAATAGACATTAAAAGCACAATAAACGATCATGGGTTGCTTTGCTTCAGATTAGTTCACTCAGTTTGCAACAGAACCATAAATGTACAAAAATAGCACAAAGAAACAAGAGAACATCCAGCATTCGAATTCAGGAGAAAGAATTCTCTTCACCCAGCTCACATTTAATTGTAATTTCTTCATTTTTCAAGGTTTTCTAGTTCAAGCAAGGTCATGGGCTCAATCGAAGCCTCTTCTCTTGAATCAGTCTACTCTTTTTTTTCCACCTTTTGAGTCTCTCTTTGATCATCTACCAGCTCATTCACTTNAAGGATTCATAGAATGAACAAAGCTCAAATTAAGACCTAAATTAGCTGGACAGCAGCTTAAAAAATCAAACCCACAAATAAAGTTCGAATCTTTCAGCACATATCGTCATCGGTGAAAGCAATAAAGCTCGGTATCAGCAGTATAAGAAAAACTAAAAATTAGGATTACTGGTGTGTACCTAAACACAATTGCCCACGCAGCCCACCATTAAAGTCCGAATCTTTATCCAATCAAAACGATGCTTGTCGCCATTCTAACATATTCGCCCATAAAATAATGAAAATGGTTCAAGAGAACTAGCCTTTTCATTGGCATTTTGCCTTCGAATAGTTAACGAAAAAGGAAAGCTGAAAGGAAGAACAAGAATGTATTTTTTTTTTTTAACAATATTAATTTGCTCTTTTATTTTTTATTGAGCTCAAAAGTGACTTTTTTCTTTTTCTTTTCTTGTCCAAATATGTTATAACCTAGTGATAATCATAAACTAGTGTATTGTCACAATTTTTATGAGACTAGTTCATTTAAAAATAGGAAAATATACTATATAATTCACTGAAAAAAGTTGAGATGAAATAAACAAATATATATATATTTGGCTGATTTTCTTTTTCCTATTAATGTTAGGGTTTAAATAAATCCGGTGGTATTAAAGAATTTGTGCCAAAAATACATATAAGTAAATTGTTATACCATAGCTGCAAAACTGATGTAGTAATCTAATGCAATTAAATGCAACAGTCCCATAACATCGACACAAAATCACCAATATTTCACAAAATCTGAACAAAATAATCAATTTTAACAAAAATTTCAGTCAAAAATGTAGTCATTTTAAGATCCTAATTCAAATATTTTATGCCTGGTTGATAATCTGTGCAGACATGCACAAATTCAATATTATAAAACAGCTAAAAAACACACATATCCCCTGCACCAAAAATCAAATCAGCAATCTATATAAACAAGTGCATAAAATTAAAATTTTCATCAACATAACATAAATATAGTGCAGACAAAGAGAAAAAGGAGAATAAACATAAACTCTCTTCCTTTTGTACTCCAAAAAACATAATCCAAATTCCCAAAAATCCTAAATTCCTCCAAATAACTCGCTATAAAATGAGCAAATTAAACGCGAATGCCGAGCCATTCATCCCGAGAGGCAGCAAGACAGGTCGTTATTCATGACCTTCTCCCGTGAATCGCCCTTATGCTGGAAAGAAAATTCTCCGGCATTTCAAAAGGTAAATATATATTTCGAACAACAAATTGGCTAATGAATCAAGAAAAAAAAATTGTTAGTTGATTAGTTTTATTTTTCATCATTGGTTGTGACAATAAGTATGGAGAATGCGTGGAGTTTGTATATTTGCACAATCGACATTACGATGATCGACCAAATCAAGAGTTCGAATTTGGAAGGATCGTCTTTAAAAATGCAGAGGTGCCCGATATTATCATCGGCAATAAGGAGAATGTGAATGTACATGTCGGGGGAAAACCTCTTCGGTTGAAAAGATACTGCAAATAGTCTCATTTTCATGTATATCGGTATAATAACCAACTTTCTTTTCCAGGATACAAGTGTATTTGTGAACCAACTACCTAGTAACATTTATATTAAGCCTTAAAGAGTTATATCAAAACTAAAAGGTAAAACAAAACCAGCTAAAATAAATTTTCTTAATACATATGAACTTTTTATAAGCCGTATGAGAGATTTAAAGGGGCAAAACGAAGAATATATAAATGTACGGGATTAGTTCACAGTCTAAAATAACTGTAACTCAGAGTGTACAGTACAGATATATCATATATGCAGTAATATTTCAAAATTATAAGCTAAGCACAAAGTTCTGTGATACCCTCAAAAAAATTAATCACACAAGGTTCGTAAATTCCTCCGAAACTCACATAGAAATGAGCAAATTGAACGTGAATGACGAGCCATTTGTCCTAGGGGCACAAGCAGCAGGACAAGCGCCTAATTGTTAGGCGCAGAACGTACGACTACAAATAAATAGTTATTTCATTTTGTTTTTCATAATCATGTAATATTTATAACTTCTATAATTTTCTTTTAGTGAAGTCTCTTTGTGTTCTATTATACTTAGATTAGTCTACGAATTCTAAACGAAAAGCAAAACAAGACAAAAAAACAGAGGATAGTTACAACTGAAACAATGCATATCAATCAATCAATCCTATTAAAATCAAAAATAATAGATTAAAATTTGTATCAACATATATATATTTGCTTGTTACACAAGAGGATAATTTAAGTTTCCTGTGTACACTCTGCGCTCGACTTGCATTGGTGAATAAGACGATTGACAACCAAGATTTGTGTTGATATTTTGCGCCATGCAAGGTTGTGGCTTTTCTAAGAGGGATGCTATACGTTATATTACTAGATTTGTGAGTGATCTAAAGGTTTGAAATATATCCTTATTTGGGTAAAACATTTTTTGCAACTTGCATCAGACATTTTTGTTGACTTTACGTACTTTTTGTTATATACACAATGCAATATAAACTTAATTAACATTCATATTTGCAACATTAATTTCTACATTTTTTTACCATACATGTCATTTTTAGAATGAGTGTCTGGTTAAGATGTACAAAAAGTTGTAAATTATGAATATCGATACTCAAAAAAATAAAAAAGTATGACAAACTCTAAGAGACAATATGACATTTCATTGTGCTTGTCATACTCTAAAACAATATAAACAAACGTATGTCATTTTATAGCGTGTGGTGTATTTTTTAAAAAACAAGTATGATGTTTAATAGCGCTTGTATGTATTTTTGTTTAAGAAGTATAAAGGATCAATTCGCCGAAATGCTAAATTGTTCCACAAAAAAATTTGTGTTCAATAAACCATAAAATCAACCACTACGAGAAAATGATAAAATTCCAACGGAAATATATTCCAATAGAATTCCCACGGCAATTCCAATGGATATTTCAATGTTATTATTCCCGTTGAAATAATTTCAGCGGAAATTCCAACAAAAATATTCCGTTGGAATGAGTTTTCCTTTGGAATTTCCGTTGGATTTTGACGATTCCAACGGTAGATTTTCCAACGGCAGTGGAAATAAAAATTCCAACGGAAATTGTATGTTCCAACGGAAATTCCTACGGCCAAAAGCCGTTGGAAATATAGTCGTTGGAATCATCAAATTCCATCTAAAATTTCAATGAAAAATACATTCCAACGGAATATTTTCGTTGGAATTTTTGTTGGAATCATTCCAACGGAAGCTATACCATTGGAATATCCGTTGGAATTTCTATTGTAATGTATTACCATAGGATTTTTCGTTGGAATATAACAAATTTTTTTTATAGTGAACAATACTATCATACCTTAATATTTCTCACAAATTCTTCATTGAACGTAAGTTTTTTTGGATTGAATTTGATATATTAGATAAAGTGAGTTAAAAATTAAAAAATAAAATGGGCTATATGCAATGGCTATACAGCGATCTTCTAGTTGGACGCTTGGTTACCGGGTACTGGGAGACGATCGTCTCTATTGGGCGGCTTCGAAGAATGGGAAATTTACTACTAGTTCCGCTTACCGGCTTATTATTCCGGCAGAAGAGATCAACAACTGGGGCCTATGGAGAATCATTTGGAGATGGCCCAGTCCGCAAAGGGTCCGTCACTTCTTATGGCTGGTAGTTAAAGGTCGTATTTTGACCAACATAGAGCGAGGACGGACACATTTGACGTCTTCTTTGAGCTGCCTCAGGTGTCCGTCTAAGGAGGAGTCCGTGCTGCATGTTCTCCGTGATTGCTCAGAAGCTTCCGAGGTATGGATTCGCCTTGTTCCATCGCACGTGCAACACAGTTTCTTCACGCTAGATTTGAAGGAGTGGCTCACTTCCAACTTACTGAACTCTTCCGGGCCTTCTATTGACGTCGACAATTGGGAGTGCTTTTTTGGAGTGACCTTATTGGCATCGGCGAAATGTTAGCTATTTTTCAAAGTCGTGGGATGGAGGCCAATGGTAAAATAAATGAGATCAGAAACTTTTGTTTATGGTGTTCTGCATTTTTCACAAGGCGATCAGAAACTGTGAGGCACTGGTGCTTCTAGAGTATCGCGTCTTATCCGTTGGGAGGCGCCACCGACGTCTTGGGTTAAAGTGAATTCTGATGGGGCTCATAACAAATCCTCGGGTATGATTTTTGCTGGTGGGCTGATTCGAGATACTCATGGTAGATGGCTAGGTGGTTTCACGATGACTATTGGATTGTTGGAGCAGATGGGGGTCACTTCATGGTCTTCGTATGACTTGGGATATGGGATATCGTCAAGTTGCAGTGGAAGTCGATAATGTCAATGTCGTGGGCTTTGCAAATAACACAGAAGATAAAATTGGTGTTCATTCGGGCTTGGTTTTAGGTATAAGAGAACTACTTAGTCGGGACTGGCAGGTTAAGATTTCGCATATTTTTTAAGGCGAATTTTGCAGCAGATTATTTGGCGTCTTAGGTAGCCTCAAGTTCTCTCGATCATCATCATCTTTTAGCTCCAGAAGTCCGGTGTCATTCCGTGGCTAGAGTACGATGTTAGAGGTGTCTTACACACGGAACATTTGTCCCTAAGTCTACTTGGCGATAACTTGCTCTTTGTACCAAAAAAAAATTAAAAAAATAAAATTGGTTGAATGGAAAGTTTGATTGGCTCTAAGTTTGCGAGATATATGAATTAAAATATTGATGTGGTGTGATATAACTAGTAGAATATATAGCTGGTGCAATTCAACCAAATAAAATAAAATAAGTCATAAAATATATGTTCAATTGTCCATCGGCTTTGAAATTACCAATTTAAAACACTAGTTTCCATATACAAGTCTATGCTCGAAAGGTAGGTCAATTATCAATTTAGGATTTATAAGATAAAATCTATCAATTTCGTTACAATAAATTTTAATTATTAATTTAAAGCTATTATACTCTTTTTAATGAGTGATGATATGAATCTCAAGAAAAACTAAAAAGAGATAAATAAATAAATAAAACCCTAATTTTTTACTCTAATCTCTTATTTTCTTATGCAAATAATTGCGTATTTTTCATCTTTTTTAATTATTTGTATTTAGATGCTTCTTGTTATAAATTTTTATATTTTAATAGTTGATTTGGTGTATTATGCATTTCATTTTCTTGAATTGATACTCTTAAACTATTTCAAAAAATATATTTTATTTTTTGCTAAAATTATATTCAGTTAATTAAAATGTCATTATTTTATAATTTGATATTTTTATTCGTAGCTAAAGATTTTACATTATCAAAATTGTTAATTATTTATATTTAAAATATACTAAGCATTGTTAGGACATTATGAGTTATTATTCTAAATCACTTTTTAATTTTCTAAAATACTTTTCACTTATGTTTTCTAGATATTTTTCAATAGAAAATTTATAAATATACTAAAAGGTGTTGTTAAAGATTCAATAAACAATTTAGAAATATACTAAAAAGCGTTGTTAAAGATGATGAAAGTTTTTTTAACGGTTGGAAATGTGAATAAGATGTTATAAAGATGTTTAGTTGTGGCACAATTCACATCATCCTTGGAAGATATACAATTTAACATTTAATGGTTCATTCCTCTAAGTTGTATTTTGGAAAGAACACAATGTTTCATGCTTTCCAAAATACAACTTAGAGGAATTTTTAATAAAATTTTATGAAATCATAATATGGAAAAAAGAAAAAGAAAAATAATAAATAAAATAGCAGTAATTCCAAATAATAAACATGCATGTTGAGTTTAGAGGGATGGGAAGAAAAAGTTACGGTAATTAATTAAAGAGGAAAGTTTATAGTTAAAGAGGGTTTATTTAAACCCAACTGACGATCCGCCAAGATGACTTTTTTCGATACCATGATTATCGACGATCCGCCAAGATGACTTTTTTCGATACCATGATTATGGCGATTGGCGTGAGCAGTTTGGCGGGAATTGGTTGCATATAGCCTTGAGTCACTCGACGGTACCCGGTCGGACAAGCGAGAAGGGAAGATCCGCCAAGATGACTTTTTTCGATACGGCGATTGGCGCAAGCAGTTTCGCGGATGACGACGACCCGACGGAATTGGCTGCATACAGCCTTGAGTCACTGGTACCAGTCGGACAAGCGAGAAGGGAAGTCCGGCTTTAATATTTAGCTAACAGGTTGTTTTTTTATTTTTTATTTTTCCTATTGTAGAAAGACATGTTCCACTTGTTTTTTATTTTAATTCCTATGGTAAAAAGACACGCTTATATTTTTGTCTCTTCTATATATGTTTTTGATTTTATAAAATTTATTATTGTTTAGACTTTTTGTCGTATGAGAAAAATCAAATAAAAATAATAATAAAAATAAATATAGACTAGAAAAGGTCAGCAGAAAGACATATAATATATTTCCCGTTAAAAGTCGACATGCAATGTTACATTACTTGCTAGAAATTAAACACGAGCCTGCGTGATAAATAAAAAAAGTACAACAACAAATATATATATATATATGGCCTTTCATCCAATCTAATTGATTAGTTGCGTCTAACTTTGAGAGTTGTCCATATACACACGCCTTTAGACAAATGAACTTCGAAATCAATCTCAACATCGTAATGCCTCCCTCTACAGTCAATCTCCTCCCCATATTGTGCAATCCTAAGCTGATATAGAGTAACAAGTTTAAATAATAAATAAAAATCGAAACAAATCTCAATATACAAAAACATTAATATGTATAATTTAGAATTAAGTACAAGTAGTATGGAGTTTATTAATTTACCCTGCTAAAAATATGGCCGTAAGGTTTGCCACCATAGAGCGCATCCAATCCAAGGCTAACTTCAAATCCTGGTGATTTCAATTAAGAAATAAAAGGCGCAAAAATTCAATTTCGGTCCGCTAATTTGTCTATTGTCCACTTTTGGTACACTATCTTTCTCTTCATACAAAATGGTCCATTATGTTACATTTTTCATCAGTTTTAGTACGCTACTCTAGTTGGCTGGATTACAAGATGACGTGGACCGAGATTGGACCTACGTGGAGGGATAAGATATTGACGTGGTAGGATAAAAACCTGATTTGGCATCTCGTAATCCCGGGCCACGGGATTAGTGTACTAAAACTGATGAAAAGTATAACATAATAGACCATTTTTTATGAGGGGAAAGATAGTATACTGAAAGTGTACAATGGACAAGTTAGCGGATTAAAATTGAATTTTTACCAAATAAAAGGTAAGCAAGAGAAAAAATATTACTCCCTCCTTTTTAAATTAGATGTCGTTTTGACTTTTTTGATTCATCCATTTTGCTACGTATCTAGACATAAAAAGGGAGTATTATCTTTAGAAATCATATATAGTTACTGTTGGGCGTGTACCTTTACATCACCGGCAAATCTAGTACTGTAACGAAGAACACCCTTTATGTTGTCGTTGGCCCTAGCAATAGCATTCTTGTAATCAGTGTATTCTTTCAGTTGCGCTACACCATATTCTTTCAATTTTTGGGACACCTTCTCATAGACATCTTTGTGCATCCAGTGCAAGATTACAATACTTAAAGAAAACTCTGAGAGAGATAAACAATTAACTGTGTTTAGTTTGAAAATAATAATAAAATCCCTTAGGCTCACTTTTTTTAGTAAGGAATAATGTAAAAGAATAAACACACGAGAGCACGACCAACTTCATTATTTTTAATCCGTTTCTTGTAACATTGTGATTACTAGTATTCAAGATAATAGGATTGAGTTAAAATTGAGTTACATTTTGAGTATAAAATAAATGTGAGTAAATTATTTCATAAACAATCATGCCCTTATTTGTATTCAATTGAGTTTCACTTTTTATAAATCTCTAAAATCTTAATTTATTCAATTATAACTTATTAATCATAATCACTACAAAGTTTGTAATTGAGACTTTTAAATGCTTATTATATATATCTAAAAGTTTAACACAGTGTTTGGTTCGAGGGAAAGTGAGAGGAGGGGAAGGAAGGGGAGGGAAATTTATACTTTTCCCTTGTTTGGTTCAATTTTTTGTGGGGGAAGGGATTGATATTTCCCTTCAAATCCCTCCTCGAAGGGAAAATTTTCCCTTCCAAAAGTGGAAGAATTTGAAGGGGAGGGAAAATTTATCACATACAATTACTATATTATCCTTTATATGTAAATTATTTTATTATTTTGTTTATTATATCATTAAAGATATAATTATCATTTTTACAATATTTTTTTTCCCTTTCTTATTCTAACCAAACAAGGTTTACTATTTTCCCTCTACTCCCCTCCTACAAAATTCCTCCAAACAAGGTAAAATTATTTTACTTCACCTCCCCTCCCTCAGTTGAACCAAACATAGCCAGAGGTATTCAATTAAAAAGAGATGTCCGAAGGCGGCGAACGTTGTATTGCAGAGAAGATTTCGGAAGGTATCATTGCAGAGAAGAAAAAATTGAGCCCTCAAGCTGCTGCAGAAGATGAGGCGATTGCCAAGAGACCATCCATTGGAGGACTACTCGATCAGCCTCTCGCCACTAGATTTCTTAACGTATGTTTTATCTTTCTTTTTTTTTTTCGTTTTTTCGTTTGAATTATTATCTTTAAAAATCTGATGATACGAGTCTCTCTCTTTTTAAGCCCTAGTAAAACGGGGGTTCTTCATATTACTATGTTCATAGTTTCAACCGATCTTTTGTTTTTAAATCCGGGAGAGGATCTTACAGAATTATTTTATAATTTTCTAATTAAATGTAATGGAATTACATTAATACCAAAAACTTGTATAGGATCCAATCATTGATGGTTTTTGCAACCGTTTGGCTGCAATTCAACCGGTCGTTAAGACGGCACAACAGCTGTTGGAGGCACTCCGAGGTTCTAAAGTACTAGCGGATGGCACTCTCAATTATGATGCACTCAAACATTTTGCTCTGGTGTTGAAAACTTGGAGAAATAATCATTTTAGGACTGGGATCTATGAAATAATTGCCAAACCGGTATTACGTCTTGTCAAAATAACTAACTTCATACATCAAGTTATCTTCTTATGCACATTTTATCTTGAAACAAACTAAATTTTTTGCATTTTGTTAGGAGTGTGTTTTGCCTGCCATCATAGAAGAACTTCTAAGGGAGTTCTATCAGAAGAAATCAAAGAACGGATGTGTCGTATCAAAGAAGATCAGAACTTGAGAGACATTCTGGAAGTTGCAAACACACCTGGTGCAGCAGCTACAACGATAAGGTCTCAATTTTTTCTCCATGTAAAGATGAACCTTCTTTGGTGTATTGTATGTTATTGTTCTCACTGTTGGCTGTGTTGATTCTTTAAAAAACTGTTTTGTTGTTTTCTATTTGAACACTTGTCTGTTAAATACGATTGTAAGATGTGCATTGTTTGTCCAAGGGATTTCTAATACTAGTAAAGTTTCATTGTTTCACTACGCATTTCCTGCCTTTAATTGTCTTAGTTCTTCTCTTTATCTCTCTCTTTCTCTCTGTGAAGGGGACTCTTAATCGTTATAATCAGTTATTGGAGTTATAAAGAGCTACTTACAAAGTTGAAATCTGGTGAAGAAATATCTGTAGAAGATGAATGTGATGCAGTTGAAGACCAAACTGACAATGTCAGTGTTGAGTATGATGAGAAACTTCAACTGGAAAGAGAGGTATGTTCCCAAGCATAGTTTTGGTTTGGTTTTAGTTAAGGAAATTGTGTGTCAAGTTGTTTATTTATACCTTCCATTATTCCTGAATGTAATATTTGTGATGGTTTCTTGTTCATTCTTTCAATCCTTCTTCTTTTTATGCAAATTTCAGAAGCATGGCGAGTGGTTAATGGAGTATGGCAGTCCTGTTCAGATACTTTCTGAAGTATGTACCTCTTAATTGTCCTCTTTAATCTTTGTCGAGTGTTGCAAGTTATTTTCTATAGCATAAAAAAATTATATTTTTCATGTTGCCAACAAACGAACACGATTCTTGCACATGAAAATGGTAAGTCACCAATAAGCTCTTAATCACCTAAATATCATCATTAGCTCGTAAATAATGTATCTTATCTGTGTTTGTGTGTGTGTGTATCAGTTAAAGCACTCTTGAGATTAGCAGAAAGTTGAAGTTATTGTTTTACTGAACTTTAGGAACCAGCCATTGAAGAGTTGGGTGATGAATTGATGAAAGATCCGCGCCTTTCTGAAAAAGCACTAGAATGTATGGCGTTCCTTCTCAGATACGATCCAAAAGATGAAGGCACCTTAAACTTCGCAAAACAACATTATGATTTAGCTCACGAAGTTCTTGAGGATTCCCATTTTATTCATCTGCTTTTTGAGAGAATTAAGAGGGTAAATTTTAATCTTACTTGGGGGTATTTGTATATCGTCATGTATACTTAATTTTTATTCGTTAATTTATTTTTTAATTTTTTGTTGCCTTTCTTAGGACACTGAAGCTCGTTGTTTTGTATCCGAATCTGGCGAACAACGAGTAAAGGTTAAGAGAGAGGATTTATTAGCTACAATTAATGGCATCATGGGAGATGCTGGGCTACGAGATTATGAGGAACATATTAAAAATGATGAAGTTGGTCTTGCTCTCAGGTGTTTTTTTTTCCCCAAAAAAACTCCTTTAGTGGTTTCTCATGTTGAGGGAGATTTGAAACTTCTGTCTTCGAAACAAAACAATTGTTCATCTCTCTGTCTCTCTCTGTCTCTCTCAGGGTTTTTTTAAGCGTTGTTATCTTGCACTGGTTGCACAAAGATGTGTATGAGAAGGTGTCTGAGAAATTGGAAGAATATGATCTAGCACAATTGAAACCAATAATTGATAGAAGGATTGCTGCTGCTAAGGCCAACGATAACATAAGGGCTTTCCTTCAGTATCGCACTAGATTTGCCGGTGATTTTAAGGTACATGGTCAAGTATCTACCTCGTATTACTAATTATTTTTCTCTTCTATATATATGTGTGTAAGCTAACCTTTTTCAGAACTGAACTCACTCACCAGGATATGAAGGCAGCCTTGGAAAGGCTCTATGATGGCAAACCTTACGGACATGCTTTTGCCGAGGTGAAATAAAGCACCAGAACTCCATAGTGTGTGTGCTGTACTTTTCTACTGAGTTCCAAATGTTAACCTTTTGCTTTCTATGACAGCTTAAGATTGCGCAATATGAGGTGGAGATTGATTTCAGAGAGAGGCAGTACGATGTTGAGATAGAGAGGATGGAGGCCCAAATGTCCAAGGGCGAGTGTGTAGGTATGAGATATAAAGTTAGACGTACATAACTAATTGATTAGTTTTTGAGAGAATTGTGAACTATTTGGGATTATGTTTCATGTTTGTGCTGTTTCGGGATTGGGGTTGTTTTGGATGTATTGGACTATTGATGTTTCCCGTTGGTGTTGGTTGTTTTGGATGGTATTGGATTATTGGTATGTTATGTTGGAGTTATTTCACTTGTTTGCAGTCTGTTGGTGTTATGAAATTGGTCGTTGTGTTTGAATATTTGGGCATTTGTTTTTCATTTATCCAGGTTTAAGTTGTAACAGTATTAAATTGTAAAAGTTCGGTTAAACCGAATGATAATTTTGGTTCGGTTAAATTATGTTTTAAATGGTTAGTTCGATCGGTTATAAATTTCAAAATTGGTCAAAGAAAGGTTGAAATAAGTATAAGCTAAGAAAATCAATTGTTTAGCAGTTATTATACACAAGCAAATCAAATTGTGTAGCAACTTGACGGCTGCCAAAGCTCGCACTTCAGCGACTCACAGTGAAGAATATATGTGCCTGAAACGGTGAAACCTATTGAAACTAAAACCCATTGAAACCTAATGACGTCTGCACGAGTGCTTCCAAATTGAGTTTTCTCACTAAAACAAAGGCGAAAAAGCAAAGAACATTCAGATTTTTAATATAGCATACCACTCATGAATAAAGTCTAAATAAATTAAACTGAAAAGCAGGAACAACAAAAAAAAAAAAGGGTTTTTAAGCTGAAAGCAGGTGTTAGTCCTTGGAAGATATACAATTTAACATTTAATGGTTCATTCCTCTAAGTTGTATTTTGGAAAGAACACAATGTATCATACCATATTGCTTTCCAAAATACAACTTAGAGGAATTTTTAATTCTGAGTGAGATGAAGATTGAATTTGGAATTAAAATTTTTTATGAAATCATAATATGGAAAAAAGAAAAAAAAAAATAAATAAATAAAATAGCCGTAATTCCAAATAATAAACATGCATGATGGTCAAAACGTGAGTTTAGAGGGATCGGAGGAAAAAGTTACCGTTAGGCGTTAATTAATTAAAGAAGGAAAGTTTATAGTTAAAGAGGGTTTATTTAAAGCCAACCGACTACCGTAAAATTTATCTTCTCCCTCCCGCTCCCTCAAAAAACACTGGAAATTCTTATAGCACGCGGATTAATTTTATATCAAGAATAATTGTGAGAAGCTGGTTTTCTTGGTGCAATTTCAGGTAAAAATTAGTTTTCTTTATCTAATATCTATTGTATGGATTGAAATGAGGATGGCAAGATGTTTCAGAAGTTGGTCCATTCTTGATTCCTCGATGTTCAAACTGGAATGAGTTGTTTTACTTTGGGGGTTGGAATATGTACTATGTACCTTGACTGCTTTGTGCGTTAAATTGTATTAACTGATACTCTAATGGCTTCATTCATTTGTTTTCCCTTGGCTTTTCCTTCTTATTATAGGACAAATTGGATGTTGAATCTCCCCAAACTTAAACCGTTGCTTGTCCTCAAGCAACCTAGAACTATAAGCACATAGATGGACAAGAAAACAAGTACGTGCAATATTTGCCCAGGGCCTCACAATTCTCACATAAGTGCATAACTCAAACAACTCAAATTAATATATCCAGACTCAAGATGAAATCATTCTAGGAATTCCAACATATCAAGTATCAATTCAAGTGACAACCATAGTTTGTCAATCTCTATAACGAATGTATCGATCAATGCAACTCATGACACCCCTCTCTTTGCTAACAAGATCAGTTCCCTTCCGTTTCTAGCCGAAGTCTAAATGTCTCTTTCTCTATTTTTTTTTCTCTCTTTTTTTTTTAGTAGGGAACGGCAGCTCCGTCACAACCCATGGGTTTTAGCCTTTCGTGCTCGTCTAGATACGAAAAATATTGGAATTATATACTAGAGCCCCCAGGCTTTTCAACTCCACCAATTATTCCACTCCTTTTATTCTTGCATGCTTCCATTTATGCACCTCTCCACTTGTTTACATTTTCATTAAGTCGTTTATAACGACCTTTCATTGAATCCAAGTTTCTTTCACAAATTTCTTCTAGATTTTTTAATTGAGATTGTTCAAACGTACTTGCTATGCGTGTTCATAACGAAGAACCCTTCTGATTCTTGCCACACATTTTGTCTTCGCTAATGAAACACCAAGCTGACATTAGAGCAAGATCTTCCGTCACTGACATGGCTCTCAGAGTTGGCTCTTAGGGGTGAAGCCTCAGCTTGGCTACCCCCTCTTCCTACCTGGATTTTAGTTCAATCCAGGGTGTCTTGATTTCAGTGACGTCCAGTTTGTAATCTTTTGAGTTCAGTTTAATGCAATCAGTTTGAAAAAAAAAATAGCAAATGTACAGAACACATTGACAAATCCATCTAGAAAATATACTTACATGTAAAATGAAAATTTTATAACAAGGCCGAGTAACTCATCAAAAAGTGTTGACAAATGTAGCTTGACAAACATAAATACTATAGAAATGAAATGACAAAAAATAAAAGTGCCCCAAAATACTCACATAGCTCCTGTCACCTGCAAGGCTGTAAAGGAGTATAATCCGTCATTCTCAAAACCAAGTAGCATAATGTCATCATTTCTCACTAGCCAAAATAAATATTAAGGAAAAAGGCACAAATCCTTCATGGGATTCTCATCTATAGTAAACATTCAGTTTCGCTACGGAGCCATCACACAAATGAACCTTGCAGAAGCATTAAAATTGGAACCAGAACGTGTAAATTGTATAACTATTCCCAGAGTTTTTACACATTTGCATACTTTCTTTTGCACTAATATATCATTGATTCTTCAGCTAATGCACTCTGTAGTTTGTATTGTACTCGAGTATAAATATGTTATATGCTTTTATCAAAGAAACATCGACTGAAACTTTTTCATGCTATTCAGTCAACTTAATCATACATCTATACCTGATCCTGACAAATAAGGTAAAATATTCTAAATTTACCAGGCTCAATCCTTTAGAAACCCGAACCCGATATTCCTATTCTGCGTGCAAGTTCAAAGTTTACATTCATTTCAGAACTAGTAATACATGATTTGTATTTTCCTTTTCCACCACCAGCCACAAAATAATAACCAAAAGAGAGAAAGAATTATACCATCCTCTTCTCTGCAGAAAGTTTATATAGGCCAACTGTGCCCTTATCAAAATATCCACCAGGAAAAAGTAGCTGCAAAAATCCTTAGTGTTAGGAAAAGAAAAATAAAAGACATATATAAAATCAAAATAATTGATGAATAAGACAATAATTCTCCACATCAACCAAGTTATGGACATTCTTCCCTGTCTTGTTGAACTTTCGAGAAGGTTCTTTTCCCATCAGCAAAAACAGGTCATCTGAAATCTCATCTCGATTAAGCTCGAGAGACATTAGGCCGGCCACCTGGCAAATCATTGTCTTCTTGCATCACCTGCTTTTTTTAACCACTCTTCAAAACCATATCTTTCTCTCCAACAGCCTTTTTAGCGACGGACCTGCAATCAGAGTCAAAAGAACGACTTTTAGAAAATTGAAAATACTATTTTCATAAGATTCCATCTATTCACTCTCTAATTACTAAAATCGCCTTCTGCTTTTAATAATATTTGTCATCTTTCCTTTAATGGTTGGTGCATTTATGCAAACATAAATACATGTCCACATTTGCTTGATTTCAGATTAGGTACATAATCTGTGAGAATCTGACAGAGGTGAATGTTTAATTTTAAGTGTGTAATATTTGTATGCACATAATATTACTCATGTCGTATCACAAAGTGTACAAACTTAGCATATTAGAACCTAAAGAACATATATCGACGAAAAAAGGGTTGCGTTCACATTCATTGCTGTGATCAACATCCATTTGTATAATTACATATAGGCCTCTTAAACACATTGAAACACATATGCACATATACATACAATGTTACTCAATAATGTATATCTTTATTTATCACAATTCGCTTCCCTTTAACCTCATAAGATCTCAACCAACAAAATTCATGCAAACAATCATATAAATTTTGTATCAAAAAAAGTGTTGATGTTGTTGAGAAGCGGTTTTCTTATATTCAGATACATTTATAGTAATATAGTGACCGAGGTAACAAAAAATAAAAAAACACATTTCCATTAATCAAGTCTTCCTTTTATTGTTTTCATATGATACAACGATGAATGTATTTCTTCTATGCAAAATAAATTAGCTTGTAAAAACGGAGAAGCCATTAAAGTTTGAAAATATTGGGGCAACAATAAAAGATAAGTTGTAAAGATGCGTGTGTAAAACAGATGCTGGGGAGTGGGTGGGCAGATGCCATTACGAAAATTCAAAATAAGATTTGGAGCATGTATGGGAAAACAATTTGAGGATCTGGAAATATTTGGAAAATTTGTAATTGCGTGTGCTGGCCATTACCTACAATTTTTACAATAATTTGATTTCAGCCATCAACGTAAATTACAGTCATAAAAANTAAAAAAAAATAAAGAAAAAATTTAATGATGCACATCTATGTCATATTTGACAAGATTCTTTTAAAAATAAAAATAAAAAACATTAGCTGTCGCAGCATAACAATTGGTTTTTCCTTCTTTTGGGGGGTAGGTGTCCAGTAACTTGTAACAAACAGCAGAATTTTATGAGGAAACTAGACCTTTATTGAGCTTTATGATTAAGCTATAAGTAATAGATTAAAAAAACGAGTTGAAATCTAAGAGGTTCTAATACAGTTGTTCGCAAAAGAATCCACCGTGCATCCATTGATATAGTTTTGAGCAAAAAATCATTTATTTTGCCACAAAGTATAGCTTTGATGTATTTATACATCGATACAAGATAAATGCTGTATAGAAGAATCCTGGATTACCGTACATTATAATTGAATTTCTAGCACTGCCAACTAATTTCGACAAAATCCAGAAGCATGAAACTACCAACAACAAATAACATTGCCATTTTCACATAATCCAAATAAAACATCTATGTTGCCTATTACCAAATCAGGTTATACGAAAACGGACAAAAAAATAAATAAATAACTAAAGATGAAACCGTGAGCCTGAGCATTAGTGGTTCAGATATAGTAATCATATGCTATTAACTGATTATGGCCTGCACGTCTTAATACGTTATACTAAACAAGATGAGCTGATCCAAATTCAGACTTGCATGGAACAACTCCCACTTACCAATACAATATACTCCACGTGTAATTAGCAGTATCCCGACTGCTACATGCACATTGCAATTCACAGGCAAGCACATCAGGTGAACAGAGAAAACTCTAGCAAATAGTGGAAGGTAAATTAAACACACAAAATGAGTACTTTATACGAAAACAATAAAACCAGGAATCCATAGTTTACATCTGCAAGTACTGATAATTAAAAACCACCACAGTTTTCTTAAAGTTTCGAGATCAGCATGAAATAAACGGTAAATTAGCCCTAACATAGCAGTTTTGCGTCCGCCCTGCTTTTCAAGTTACAGCCAATTATACCTTACAAGCCGGGCGCCTCATTCGTCCAGAAAGAACAACTGAGGGGCATATACATCTTCTTCTCATTGCATCTAACCCTGCATATAGCATTCATTAACTATCAGTGAAGTGTCAAACCAACTTAACCCTACAGTAACAAGACTTAATAAAACAAATCAGGATCATACCTTCATGTAGTTCTCAGACACCTTATAAGACTCTGGTGTTATTGAAACAAGACCCAGTCCAGGAAACACAGCCTGCAAGTCAAGAGAATTATTCAACTAATAAATAACATCTACAGAGAAAACAGTTCAACAAAAACAAAACTTTTTTGGGTCAAAATGAAAAATGAGATTGAAGCATCAAAGATGGGATAATTCATCTTACATCCACTTTCTTCTGAATGTTCTTGGCCCTCTTCTTTGGCCTCCTTGATGGCTTTGATCCAGTGAAAGCATAAATATCCTCCTCAATCTCCTCTTTTGTTAGAGCAATAAAGATGCTCAGTTTCTTCTTCCCTTTCTTCTCCTTCTTCTCCTTGTCCTTGTCCTTGTCCTTCTCCTTCTCCTCAGCACCGTCAACATGATTTGAATCCTTTTCCCCAGATTTATTTGCCTTCTTCAAGGGTGACTCAGTTTTTTTAGCCTTTCCAGTATTTCCAGACACATTACCATATTCTGCACCGAATGCACCAAAAGCTGCATTTTGTGTCTTGAATTTGGGCTTTCGCGGCCTCAAATTCCAAATCTTTATCTCATCATCAACGTCATCAGGAATTTTGGCCTCAAATTCAACATCTTTGTCCTTTCCCTCCTCCTTCAACTTCTTCTCAGTTCCACTGTCATCAGCCATCTTTAGGGCCTCTTCCTTAGCATTTTCCTCCTTCAATTTTTTGCTCATGTTAGGAATTTTTATCAGGATTTTCGATTTCTTAACAGCCGGGGGCAGATCGTCTTCGGCCGCCTTAAGTTTCGTCTCCATTTTCTCTTCTACTTTCTCCTTAGCCTTTTCGGCACTCGAAGAACAAATCTTCATGCTACTCGAGGAGGAATACCTTGAATGCTTCCCGCGGTACACAATTGGAGCAGCCTTAGTTTGCTTTGCCCATGCCTCCGAGCCGGTCACGAACTGCCGCAGGGCATCCTCACGGATCGAGGACAACCTCTCCAGTTCTCTGTCGACCGGCGAGTTCTTCAGATGGCTGTCTCGAGCAGGAGATGGCCGGGGCGATTCTCCCCGCACAGGAGAATGCTTAACCACGATATCCCCACGGATCGGTGACTCGTGGAGCGGCAGCGCCGCGGATTCACGCAGCGGCGACTGGCCGAGCGGCGGAAGCGGAGGCGGCGGAGGAGGAGGAGGAATGGAATCGCGCGGCGGCGGAGGCTGGCGAGCTGAAGAGGCGGAGGAGGACCCGCCCGGCCTTGCGGACGGTGATTTGACCGAGCGGCGGCGCTGGTGGTGGCCGCCGCCTCCCTCGCTCGAGCTGGAAGTAGTTATCCATTTGAGGAGCGGCAGGTCGAAGTTGTGCAGCGGCTGCGGCTGGGACTTTGGAGGGCTTGTGGGTTCCATAGCAGNAAAAGGGCGCCTAGATTTTCACGGAGAATGCGAAAAAATCGCCGGCTAAAAGGTATAAAAAAAACACGGGGAAAGCGGACTGTCGGAACCCTGATCGGCGGCGGAATTTCACTCCGAGAATCAATCGGCCCAATCCATGGCGAATGCCTACGGACAGGTGAATGTGTGTACGGACGTGAAGGGCGATGAGTGAGGTTTTGCCGATGGTGAGGATTTCTAGAGAGAGAAAATGGGCGAAGCTGCTCGAGTTTTAGAAAGAGAAAGGGAGTCTGCACTTTGGCAAAGGGAGTCACTGAGTTGGAAAGAAGAGAAAGACGGTTACTCCTGAAGAATAAAATAAAATAATAATAATAATATTATTATTATTATTTTTATTATTATAATCATATATATACAATATTATTATAAATGCGTGCGTGTGTATGCGTCTGTTGACAGTGCGTGTCTGTGTGTGTTGGTAGACACACGTCATATATAATTATTTTAATTTATTCTCTTTCGGTGGTGATGCATTTTATAGTCTTGTGATGTCATATTTTCCCCTATGGTCTATTGAATATTATGTTTAGGGAAAATCTAACTTATTGACTTCATAGGGATTTTATACTTTGTGGATGTGTGATCTAATGGAAAAACTTGATGAATCCAATAAACTAATAAACTAATGGTAGCGAATAAGTTTTAGATATTAATCATTATAGTCGTGTGATGTCATATTTTGCCACTATATTATTATTTTATTGAGTATTATATTTTTGGGAAAATTTACGATGTTGTCTCTGTTCATCGGAATTTCATCGTATAAGTAAACATGTGTGTATGAATGTGTAATCCAACAAAAAAACTCGGTAGATGCAATGAGGTATTGAGCTCGAATCTACTTATGTTTTCAATATACTGCTCATTATTGCTTTTTTTTTTTCTTCTTCAAAGTGAATAGATTATCCATACTGTAATGGTTAGTCGTATGAGCTTCTTATTGGCATTTTCATTTTACATATGTATATATCAAATATATATTTTCATAATGATAAAAATACCATATGTAAACTAACGAAATTAAAGATCAACGGTCAACTAAACGGTTGCTCGACAACGGTATTACTTACGTAAATTTTAAAAACAAAATTTTGTCGCAACGTATATCAATGAAAAGGTATTTTAAAGCCCTAGATTTTCTTTATTAATTTCATATAATAAGATATTGACGTGAGTTGAAAAATGAATTGCAATTTATATGTATACATTTCTAAAAGAGGATTTTGAGAAAAGTCAAAGAAAAAATATTGTGGTGAATGAGATTTTCTTTTTTATTTGTGCAATAAACTAGGAATGAAAATAACATTTGACTATAAAAAATATGTTTTCTTTTATTTCACTTTTTCCTTTATAATGTCACTATCACTAGCATAATTAAAAATTTACAAAACCAACCATCACTATATATTTTCAAATACAAGACATTATTCGTTAATCCATTGAAATTATAATTTATAAGCGTGTTACCACTTAACTACACCTGAACGTTCAAGAAGATTTTAATTTACACCTTATAGATAATTATCCATAAAAAGGAGTAGAAATGCCAGCAAGAAAACAAAATCTTCAAAGTATATAACTATATATTTTTGTCATTCCATACGAGGTATTGTCAAAAGGAGTCAAATAGGGCGAATTTTGAATATGATTTTGTTATTTTCTTTAAGGAAATAAATTTGGCGATTTCATTACACTTGGAAAAAAATCTTCATAAAATGTATTGTATTACTTACAATTTCCTTTAAGCAATATGGAAAATTCCCCCATGATTTTGTGTGTTGACCCCAATAAACTTTGATTGTTTAATTTTTCCATTCGGTTATTTTAAACTACTGAAATTTGGTTGCCACACATAATTCTTTACCCAATAGTAGCTTTTAAAATTTAGATATCATATACCTTCAAGTTGTTGAAAGTATTGTGATTTGAACTCAATTGAATAAATCACAAACATTAAAAAACAAATAAAAAAAAAAATCAAGTGATGAACTCGAGTAAAAGGTGTTTATAATTATTTTGAACTGGATGTGTTATATAAGAATCTATACTTATATTAAAAGGTATACCATTTACCAGATTTAGTATAAAGAAAAGTCAACAACATTTATTGCATTACTATTTCCGTATTATACAATCTATATTTATATAAAAGGAGATTCTATTTACTACATTTACTATCCAGAAAAGTCAACTGCATTAAATGCCATTACTATTTTGGTATTATAATATTTTATTTATTTAATTGATTTATTTATTTATTTTATTTTAAAAACGTAAGTATAATAAAAAGATTTTAATAATAAAAATATCAAATACCAAAAAAAAAAAAATGTACACTTTGACTTATTTGATTATATTTGGTATTTGATTATACCAAATATATTCCTATTTAGTATATACATTAAATACTTACTAAAGTATTTATTTGTTTTATTTGTCAAAGTTAAGTATAGATTTGTTTATATTATCAAATCATAAAAAAATATTAAATCCATATTGTAAAAAAAAATCATATAATTTTATAACAATTCTACTACACTATTTAACAATATTTCTTTTTTATTATATAATAAAATAATAATTAAATATTATATTGTGAACAACAATAAGTAAAACTGTTACTTTCTCTCAAGGGATAAATTTATAAGCTAAAATTAAATTTTTATTAGTATAAATATTTTAGTGAGATAATATATTAATTATTTTACAAGCTAGCCCTAACATGCTCATATTTAATGTTTTAAAAGATGTAGAAAAAAAACTTATAATAACTCTATTGTTTTTTAGACTTAAATGTTGATTAAAAGAGGTAAAAATTCCTAATTTTTTATACTTAAACGTTGATTAACACCATAGATTGAGAGTTTATATTTAGTAAAATTCCTAATTGTAATAAAAAAATTAATTTTTGCTATATTTTAGAATATCTTTAAAGGCATTATAAAAAAAAAAAGAAAAAAAAACTACAATGTAAAAGCCAGTCAGCTATATATCGTTCGTTGTGCTCCTTAAATCACATTCACAATTTGGCTACAAGGAAAGGAAACTCATTGATTAAATATTATTTTGTCAGTAGTCTTAATGTACAAGAGACTTTAAGACTCCACTTGAATATTATAGAACTTTTATTGAATATTGTACAATTTTCTTGCGTATTATAAACTTTTATTGAATATTGCATCTTATAATATAATATTCTCCAAATAAATATATCTCGTGCTTCGCACGGGTCACGTACTATATATATCCTGTACATTTTTCTTTATTCATGTATATAATTATAAGCCTGGATAAATAACCTTAAAATCGTGCACCCCGTGCATCGCACGGGCTCTGTACTAGTAGAATAATAAATATACATATTTGCAAAGTTGAGGACATTTAATTACATAATGTTTAAGGACATCACAATTCACAACTAATGTTTACCAACCACATTTATTGAAGGCTTAATTGCAAGTTTGCTCAAGATGTACATATTTGGCCTTGCAAGTGTACAATGTATACGATGTAGCAAAGGTTAACTTATAATCTNCCATCGTGATTTTATAAATGCTAATTGTGTAATTTTATCACTGAAATCATCTTCCCAAATGCTGATATTTTTTTCTTTTTCAATCTTACAATGTAACTCAATATTTGTTTTGTAGAAAAACAAAAATAAATGGAAAGAAAGAAAAGGTTCCACAAAATCAACTCAACTACTCGAAATTCTAAATAAATACCTTTCATGATTTTGTTTAATCTCTCATCATTTTTTCACATGACCATCTTTTCAAAATTTCTGTATAGTGAATCGGCAGAACTTGATTACCATTTACCACTACTAATTCACAGTGCAAGAGAATCATAATTAGGATCTCTTATACTAAATACATCTGTAAAAATAAAGCAACATTAGAAATACTTTTAAGTTGAATCACAAGCTGTTATGGTATCAAGCACATTACATATAATTCCAATTATCTTTTAAAATTATGACAAACAACAAATTATCTTTCAAAATTACAGACTTCCAATATTATGACGAATAGTTACATTCTATTCCTTATTATAGAAGCAAAAGAAGCTCCGAACGGGCACATATGATGTTATGCGCAATGGTAGCACAAAAGCCAGCACGAATATCTTGTGCTCGATTTGCGCCAACACACCATGTATGCACAAATATATAAATTGAGATTGAACGAGCATTTATGTTACATTCACTGCTTGTAACTCAGCACATTGCAATCATCAATCGGCAACAAACCCAACCGAACAATATAGCATTACAAAAATTTGGTCTTTACTGCCAGTTGATCCCAAGACACCTTGAAAGAATCCAAAGTAATCGACATATGAGCAAGTTATGAGATGTTAGAAACCATTCTAATGAAAAGACCACTAAGAAAGCACACAAGTGATATCAGAGCATAAAAAATTTTGAGATCAAGGCAAATGGAAAACCTTTTAATTATAACTAAAAGTAGAAGACAATTATGTCTCGTACTTTTGTGCACATAACTTGCACTACTTACTTAAATAGAAGGCTCAAATTTTTTAAAGAAAACAGTAAAAAAATAAATAAATTAATCATGCTAATCAGACTACTAACAAAAAGAAAAATGTTTTTCATAACACAGATTCAAATCTACAAGAGGACTTCAGTTAAATAGATGACCCACACAAATGGTCAAGTTTCCTACAGCAGCCAAGCCTTCAAAATGTTCCAATATGTTTGTTGAAGACGACTGATACAGCATTTTTAGCTGGCTTGCCAGAAATAAAATTACTAGCATTTTATATATTGTAATATCATAAAGGTGCAACACTGAACAACATATTTAACCTAAAGGAGGAGAACTATACCTTCCTGTAGTTTCTAGAAACTTTATAACGATCAACCGTTATTGTATCCAAATATCCGCCAGGAAAAAAGTAACTGCAATAAAATATAAAAGAATAAAAAAAGAAAGGTTAATAGAAAAATAATTGTGTGAAATAAATTATTAGCTATCACATCAATATTCCTTTGCACGCTTCTCTCCCTTTTGATCATCTGCCTAGAAGGCGGTTTTCCTGGGAAAAAATGTCTTCTGCAATTTCATCCGTTTCAAGCTCTAGAGAGAATTCTGGCCCCTTTAGTTCATTCTTTTCTTGACCCTCTCTCTTCCTTTTATCGCTCGTCTTAGTCGATGTTGTCTGCTCACCTTCCGACAATCGAATGTGGTTTCTCTCTCTTAGGTTCCATTTAATAGCCCTCTCGCCATTGGCGCCTCCTTCGGATTCTATTTGATTGACCTCTTGCTTTGCAGATTTGATATCCTCATTCTTCATCATCTTCTTGTCTTTCAGTATTTTTTCCAAAAATTTGACGACATGTGTTATTTTCTAGTACATAGTTGTAGAATTAATAACCATATATCGGAAATTCAAGTTGCACTAATGATGATCATAGGTGCAAATGACCCTTGGTTTTACAGATACATAAACATAATAAGGCACTTTAAAACCACTAATATGTGTTTTGTATAATATCAAATTTAGATATGTGAAAGTGTTCAAGCCAAAGGGACATCATGAATGTGCACATCAATATTATGTGTATAACAATCGTATATATATAGTACAAAAGAGAGCATGAACTTTGGATGGATAAGATATTGAACGATGCATTTAAGTAAGTACACATGAATGGTTATCCACACAAATATTCATTGTAATCTATGCATTGTCATCCATTTATATATCTATGTTTGTGTGTAAATATGTAGGGATACACCCATACTTATATATGTAACATCATTTTAAGGTATGTTTATCGATATAGATGAGCAAACATATGGATGTCTACTAGAATTTATGAGATAAAACCAAACATACGAAGAGACTGTTGATGGGCAAACAACAAGCATTGATAACAAATATCTTGCAAAACAATGAGGAGAAACAGGGAATTCATATTCTTGAACTAGATTGCATGAATTTCTCAAATTTTCATATATATGTAATGAGGGGTTCAACATTTTCAAGAACTGGAACAATTAAATGTTTGCCTCATAAAGGAATAAGATTATCAATTGAGTGAAATGGGAAATAAGTTAATAAAAATATAACAAAAGATACTGTGATTTAGTCTTCTCTTAATAATCACCAGATGATGCGAAAATAGGTGTGCTGCTTATATCTATTGTAAATGCTCCCTAGGCAAAGAAGCTGTTAAAGTTTTAAACGGCAGACTGAAATACTCACAGAGAGAGCGAAGATAGTGTAACGACAGTGAATGTAATAGAGAAAGAGTGAGAAGACATTGGGCAAGAATGCAGTTTATAAAGAGGCTAGAGAGTGTGTAGACTAATGGTATTACAAAAATCTAAACGATATTTTTGGATTGCATGAGAAAGAGCTGTAAAAAACACAAATCATCTTAAGACATTAAGCTAGACATTGAAAAAAAAAAGTAAACAAGGAAAATAGAATAAGAGATTTGACAATGTAACTACAAGAACTTATAGATCGAAAACCCCAATGAACAAGTACAAACCAAAGAAAAATAAGACGAAGAAGAAAATCAGATCAACAAGCATCGCTAGTGGACATGTCATACATCAGAAGTGTTCCGGTGAATGTCATCATTTAAATAAAACACGCCTGCATTAAATTGAAGAAAGAGTCAAGTGACAGAGATAAGTCCAATATGACAGCCACAGGCAGATAATTATGGCCATGCACAAAAACACCTGCAGACGTACCCGTACAATATAGGTAGAAAATGCATTAATAATTTGACGACACGCGGCATAAGATGGTACGTACAAGTTAATATAGAATAGTAATAATAGCCATGCAACACGTCTTCAAGAAAATAATTAATGTGTATCGGCTCATATAGACTTAGTTGAAAAGTACAGAACTGCAAAGGAAATTTGATTGTCCATGAAAATTATCACCTTGAAACCCTATCAACAAAAGACGAATTAATCATACTTTCAAGTAGGATCCCACCTTAATCATAAACTACGATATCATATTATTTCGTCTCCTAGAATAATTCAACGCATATTGGAATTATTCAATCAATAAAGCCCATGCCCTTCCATATGATATCATATTGTACCTAACCTACAAACAATTCGATAAAGCAATTTAAGAAGGATGGTAGTGCAAACGACAATATCTAATTGTGTGATCTTAAGATGTACACATATTTCTCACGCTCTCAAGCAACAAATTACATCAATGAGAATACTATATGATAGCATTCTCCCACCAGCTACTCGTGAAATTTTTATTTTTCTGAAAATGATAACTTGAGGTATTTATTGGAATACCTCACATTCCATTAAAACATATTCCTATAAAGTCACCGATAAACGCACTAGGTTTGTCGAAATAATTTCAACTCAAAGATGATTATTCAAAATAAAATCATGAATCAATCAGATAACGGATATGAGTACTCTAAAGAATGTAATGCTCACTAGTTAGCTGCTGGACATTATGGTCTATATCCACATTACAAAACTATCAACAGGGAGCTATTGTTTTGATAGCCGCTTACTTGATTATCAAAAGCCAAATTCAGTTACTCCCTCTTGGGTATATTTAAAACTAAGAACCAATACTATGGAAGCTAGCTTACACCGACAGAAGGAAAGTCCTAAACGGATATTACTCTCAGCTATCAAAATCAATTTCTATCCCCATTCCAAGTACCAATACCATTTGATGAAGATGAACAAATTCATCTGCCAAAGATGAACAAATGGCATGCTGATGTTATGCTTCAATTAAGATTTCTTAAATTGTCCTCTACTACATTTTCCTTCCTATCATCAATAAAAACCGTTCTAATACTCAGAAAAAAAGTCCCATCCCCGTGTCACTCTCAATCTTCCACATTGCCTACACACATTTCACCAGTTTCACACACATGATTGACATAACAAGTATGATTCAATATTTTTACCGACCAATAACCCGATTCTCAGGTGGCATAATTTCACGAGCCATTGATGATTTCGGGAAGGCCTTCTAGCAATTAATCGGTCATGGGCTCGCTAACCTGCCGGCCCAAAATTTTCAGCTACTCTTTGGTTGGACCTTTGAGCTGGTTTAATAGCTGCTCCCATTTTCTCTCGAGCCCTTGATCGGTAATTTCAGCCCTAAAACCATCAATCTCCGCTCGGAAGTTACTCTCTCCGCCTTCCTTCAGATGTGAGACCGTCGCCGACCCGAGCATGGGTGGTTTTGCTGTGGATGCGTGAATTTCGACCATGGATTATCGAATAACAAGCTTGAACAACAATAATTGTGCACGGAAATTGTTGTTGGAGGGAATTGGGTTATTAGTACCTGTTGGTGGTGGCGCTGTAGTGGGTGATGTGAATAGCTGCGGTGGCGCGGACGGCGGTGCGGTGGTTGGCCTGTTACACTTGAGGAGATCTCCCTAGTATGGAATTTCGCTGTGGGTTCGAAATCATTTGGGGGTGATTGTTTATGGATTCAACTAGTTTTTATTTGGTTTGTTTTTAACTATGATTAATTTTGGAAAAAAGAGGTATGGTTAGTTGTTAGTGGATATATTAAAATAATATTTAAATAAAATAATTAAAGTTGATTTGATGTAAAGTAGGAGAAAAATGATTGGAAGTGATGGTTAGTTAAAATTATGTGAGTAGATGAATAGTGAATTAAAGTTGATTTGATACGTAAGAATGATTGGTTGATATTATTTAATTATATTGGTAATATGAAAGATAGTGAGATTGAGTTAGAGTTGAGTTAAATTTGAGTTTTGATTGGATTTTTTACTATTCAATTTATATCCAATCGCCCCCTTGATTTTTTCAAAGAATTTGATTGTTTTAATTTTTAGATTTCCATGTATTCATAATTCTATTTATTAGATCAAATTTTGAAAACTTTGATATTTTAAGAAATTATGCTATATTTAAACTTTGACATTTACAAAATTTTGCAAGTTTTATATTTAATTGAGATTTCAAAATATCTATCTATACTTATATAATAAGAATTAACATTTATTAAAATTAGTAATTTAATTAATGGTCAAAGTCAGTTTTGCATTAATTACTTTCCAAAATCAGTAACTTTTATGTCCTTTCCACGCTTCTCATTAGTTATGTCCTTTTCACATTTCTAATTAATCATGTCCTTTTCACACTTCTCATTAATTATGTCTTTTTCACACATCTAATTAATTCATTAATTACGACATAATTATCATAAATTATTCCATCTGAACTTTTATCGTTAAAATGTATAGCGATCTGTTATGAACTTATCCCATTGATATTTCCATGAAGCGTCCTTATCGCGTTCTATTTTTTGGTAACCACTCTATATCAATAACCAGATATTTGGTTAATGATAGCACACGTATTAATTTCAAGGAGCGGATATTCTTTGACTTTTAATTAATCTGAACTGATTGCCTTGACTTTTCAATTTTTAAAAACTCTTTTTTTAAAATATTTCGGCTTAAGATTCGGATTTTATTATACAAGTCATCGGAATGTTTGAATGAAAATGAATGAAAAGAACACAAAAAATAGGTAACCTTATTCATATAACCAATCCTAAAATATTAGTTTATTCACCAATCCTAAAATATTAGTTTGTTCACAATAAAATATTAGTTTGATTTTTAGGATTTGTCTCTTTTGAAAATATTAGTTTGTGATAATGAGGAGTTACCAAATAATCAAACTCATAATGTTGTGTACAATGAGGTTTTTAATAATATATGATTGTTACCGAACTTTTTATGATTTAACAATGTTCCTATGTATTTTAATGATTTCAATTTCGATCCTAATGCACGTGAGGTTATATTATTCTTTCAAATTTTACATCCCATGCATCGCACGGGTTACGTACTAGTCTTATAAGTAAAAGCAATTGAATTACTTCGACGATATATTTCAAAGCAAATGTGTGTTACGTAAGAAGGGTAATGTAGTCATTCCGTTTTCTTAATCACTTCTTTAGATTTTGTGAATGTGCGGTTGAATATGAGAATTTTTTTAAACATATTTGACTTATTCGGAACTTTGAGATGTACAATTTTGTAGTTCGGATGTAAATATTGTACATTTTGGTTTGATATAAAATCTATCATTGCGAAAAAAAAAATGAACTTATGAGACAAAAAATAGAAAATTGAGATAAATTTTAGATTGTTAATTACTTACCGATAAATAAATGTAATGATCGTAATATGATATAGAAATAATACAATATGATAGATTGATAGTTGGAATGATAAAATTAATAATTATAAAAATGTGTGAATGGATCAATAAAATGTGAGGATTTTTTTTTATAAAAGTTTGATAAATTTGAGATTGAAAAACGATATAGATAAAACAATTATAATGAAATATAACTAAAATATATTAGTATTTCAATTGGTAGTTGAAATAGTGAACTTTATAGACATAAATATGTGGGTAGTAGAATTTTTTATTTTTGATTTAACAATGATTATTTGTAACAATTATTTTATTTAACAATGAAATAAAACAATTATTTTTTATTTAACAATGATTTATAGATATAAAACGATATATATAACAATGATTATTTTTTTATTTTTAACTTGTGGTAGTAGAATTTGTAGATAAAATGTGAAAGGATGTGAATAGTATTTTTTGTGGATTTTATTGATTGATTAACGATGTCTTGGTTGAACAAATGACAATAACAAAAATGTGTATCCAATAGCACTTGTGTATTTAACTTTGTTTTTTAAAAACTGTTAAAGCCTCATTTACTTTGTGTGATGGGATAAAATAAAATAATCAGGATATCTTTACACGTCAGCGTTTAGTCCACTGTTTACATTAAGGGATTAAAAAGTCTAAAATTTGTCCTATGTTTACTATCATGGACTCTTGGCACGAGATGCCGTTACACACTTATTTCTTGCTGGGATGAAGAACCTGACCGCATTCTCAACTTGACAACCAGAGACATGTTTTCTCTTTTTAGCTAATTTTTTCTGAAAAAGACGGGGTTTATGTTCCTTACCATTTTCATAGAAAAATTGTCTCCACTTCTTCTTTAGCTAATTTTTTAGCTAATTTGTTTTCATAAAATTCATCTGCCCTTTTTTACCAATTACCGTCAAGACCGAACCCTAATCACCCAAAGCAGGCGTCGACGACAGGGTCCGATCCCCTCTTTCCAAAATTATGTCGAACCCTTCTTTCATTTGCGACTACGAGGTCCACCGAGATTTTCAGGCGTGGAAGAACGGCGGCGAAAGATTTTCAGGCGAGGTCCACCCGATAAGAAGGTTAACCGAGAAACACACACAAAAAAAAAAATAATAATAAAAAATGTGACATCAGAGCTTACAAGTTTTGGCGACGGAGTGGACGATGCTAGGTTCAATGTCCCTGTGCTTCCCGAATGGCACGATTTAGGCAAGAATAACAGTGAAACACATTTTTATATGGGATACATTTGCAAATAAATGGATGTTTAGGGGTATTAATGTCTTTTTTCTTGCCCCTTATGAGGACACAATGGGCATATTCAAATCGGGATAAAAAAAAAGCCGGAGGGGAGGGTGGGATGGAAATTATCAGCGAAGAAATGATATGCGTGTGGGCCCCGCTGCCACGTGTATGCCACATCAGTTGAATCCTATCCCAATCCTTTAATGGAAACGTCAGATATTAGGGGATAATTTTAGTTATGCTGTCTTATCACTCAAAGTAAATGATCCCTAAAAGTATTCATTTGAAATTTAAAAATGTATGAATCATGAGCCAATTAATTTGTATTTTGTTTATGGAGTCCAAACCGGCTCATTAAGACAAGACCAAACGAATATTAAGCCTGCAAACTTGAGAAAAAGTGGCCCACGAAGCAACACCAACAAATTATGTCGATTTCACCGATAGAACAATCCTTTATAAAATGACGACCTCATCATGAATCTTCCACATGAAGATTGGTGATATATCTCGTATGGATATGGAACCGTTAAAGTTGATAAAACAACCGCCTAAGTTGTCTCATCTTCGAAAGTCGAGTTTTGCATGGATTCATGCATTGGTACTCTACACCCCTGGCTGGCATGACGCATTTATTGTATTATCACTTTTTTTTTGTGTATATAAATACGGCCACATGTGCTCCTCAAAAAACAATAGCGATACACAATCATATGTAAAAACACACAAACACAACAAATACTCTCAATAAACATTTCCCGAATAACCCTATTATCCTTGCCGATATCATCTACAGATCAACGAAATTGGCGTTTTATTATTTTTCTGTAATGATCTTTTCATTTTCTTTATTTCAGTTGTATCTTATTTTGCAGTTATTTCATATTCTATTAACTATTCGATAACCCTTGAAACACAATCTTTTACTGTTGATGGTCAACCGTCAATAGATTTTTTAATACTCACATTAATGTTAAAGAAATAATAAAACTACAAAATATTGCATCAAATATCACGTCCATATAAAATTATAAAGAATAAAGTTAAATAAAAATCTTAGAAAGTCTAATTTAAAAAAATTTTAAATGTCTCTTAAAGCTTCAAACGATATGATGCGAATTTATAAATTTCATAAATTTTATATGTTGGGGTAGCAGTAGGATAACAAGATTTGTATATGTTAAGTTGAGATTTATCAATTTAAATAGGGAAATAAATAAATTTAGAAAAATATTATTTATTTCATCCAATTTTAAGTTTTTAACCATACAATCACACTAATTTAACTAAAATGTAAAATATAAAATTATCATATATTACCAACACAAAATATACGTATTTTTTTTTTCCATTTCCATATTTATAATATCAATTTTATAAATTAATATTTTATTATTTTTATTATATCAAGGTTAGTCGTTATATTTTATCTTTAGCTCATTCACAATTTCTAATATGCATTATTTTTGTTTCTAAAATTATATTATTTCAATATTTCACATATTTATAATCACTACATATTTTCTATTTTATTTTTTTTAAANTTAACTATAATATATTAATATCCTGAAATTATGAAAGTAAATATAAATCTGGCCAAGGTATATCTGCAATTTTAGCAAATAACAACCCTCGACAAAATACTGTCACGTGCCTTATCCATCTTCCCTCGTCAGCTACAGCCATGTCCCAAACTCAAACCCCCGCGGACGCGAACCCGAACCCGAACCCAAATCCGACCCACCAGCCTTCGAAACCGGCGCCGGAGGTCCATCCGAATCATACCTCTGCGGCACCGTCCGACAAGACCGCTGTTGCTGCGGACGATCCGTGTCCTTCGGACCCCGCCGTCGCATCTACTGCTACTACCGCTCCCAAGCGGCCGCGCGAGGAGGGCGTGACTGAGGGAGAGGCGGAAGGAACCAGCACAGATGATGCTCCGGCGGCAAAGAGGCGTGTGAGGGATGCTGGAGATTTGATATACCGCATTGTGGTGCCGTCTAGGCAGATTGGGAAGGTTATTGGAAGGTCGGGGCATCGCATCCAGAAGATTCGGGAGGATTCTAAGGCCGCAATTAAGATTGCTGATGCTATCTCTGTTAGTGAAATTGATATTTTCTTAATTGATAGTTCTTTTTGGGTATCTTGCCAGTGATATGTAGAGTTAGCTTTTTATTGGAAACGAGTTTGTTAGTGATAGATTGAGGTTCCTTAAAATTGTTGTGAGAAAGTATGAAGTGAATCTCCCTTGCTGATAAATAAAGGCTAAGAGCTGAAAGAAGGGTAAATTGGTGTTGAGAAATATTTGTTTCTTTGGTGGAGTGTAGTAGGAGATGAACCTGGCCTTTGAGCAATTTTCTGGTAGTTTTAGGTAACTAGTAAAGTGATTGCATATGAATCAGGAAAATTTTATGCTCTGTTTGAACTTTCTTCTCCATGCTTTACCGAGTAAGCAAACTGACAGTGAAATTTAAACATGTGTGAAAAATGTCAAGTAATCGCATGACTAGGGGACCTCATCCTATTTGAGACATAATACTCTGGGTAAATCATTACAATTCATAGATACCGTTTGATGTTATCTGTTGGTTTTGTAGTATCTGAATATAGGGGCAGTAAACGCGGCATATGGGTATAAAATGAGCTTCTCATGTTCCTGTTTTCTTCTCTGCAGCTTTTTTCTTACAGATACAGGACCTAAATCTCTAATCAGGAATTTGGATAGACCAGCGAGACGGGTCTATAATATGTTCCACTTGAGCTGGATTTTTTTGGACCTGGTTCACGTTTAATCTCAGCTAAATAACCAAAAGCCCGTCATATATAGGTCAGATTTGCCCATGATTTTTCAAAATGAGAATCTCGTTCCCTCCCCACCCCTATTACCCCTCCCCGCCATTTCTTTCCCCGCCCCTGTTCCCCAATTTATCCCTCCCCGTTTCCTTGTAGTGAATACTGACTGACCTGCAACCCCTTATGTTTCTGCACTCTGTCACAATTCACAATTAGTATCCCCCTTTATCCCTTCTCTTACTTTCTGTTTTTGTGTATGTGTTTTCTGGATCAATTTGAAAATCTAACCTTATCCAGGACCAATGAGAAGAGGTTGGATCTGGTGAGAGCCGAGCCTGGGGGACCATGATGCTGTGTCTTAAATATGGTGTCGTCTGAGATTTTTTCCTACATCTGGACCCAACTGCAGTTGGGTCTTGATGTGGAGGGTATGCTAAGCCTCAAGAAAAAAAGTGTTTCTCTGGTTTCAAGTCACTTGAATTGATGCTGTCTGTTGTCTACATTTTCTTGGTCCCAATTGTCTAGAATGTCTTTTGATGAGTTTAATTCTATATGATGCTGCTTTTGACTGTGGGAACTATATAATATACATTTTTTTTCAGCGAAATGAAGAGAGGGTGATTATTATCAGTTCTGAGGACAGTGGCCACGTTTTCTCGGATGCAGAAAATGCTCTTCATCAAATTGTTAACCTAATACTAAAGGTAGCACACAGAAAGATTTGAAGCCCAATTAATATGCACACATACATATATATATTTGAAATTTTAGCTTGATTGTTATTGGTACTGCATTTCTGTCAGGACATGCTGATAAAATGTTATGCCATCTTGATTTTGTTCTCTTGAATTTTGGTCATTTGTGGTAAATTTCTGAGGATTCAAATCACAAAAGCTCAGCATAATAATTTTTGTACAGCAAAATGGGAACATGCCTGTTTCCTTTTTGTAGTCGATGTAGGTTTTGTAGAGCACAACCTTAATCTGTACTTTATCTATAGGAAGTAATTAAAATGCTTAATCAAATGTAGAGTCATAATTGGCAACTTGAATTTGTTGTAAATGAAACTATGAGAAGATATTTGGCATTAAACTATGGATAATATTAGAACGCTTATTGTCTTCTTTGCCATGGTCGGAGAAGGAAATGATGATGAAATTCCCCCACGTCCACGGTCCAACCATAGGTCTCCATTTGTTTGTTTATTTGTTTGTTTGTTTGTTTTCCTTCTTCTTCTGGGAGGGGAGAGGGGATGGTATATTACTGTGGGTTTGTTTTTGACTGGGAACTAGGAAACTAGTGTCTTATTGAGTTTGCCTAACCAGGAAAGTGAATAGGGTATATTTAAGTTCTGAGAATAGCTTGCATAAGAGTGTTGCATTTGGCTTCAGGCTGACCTATTTGAATATCACTATATAAGTGTCTAGTACTGTTTACCAGTTAATTGTAATATGGGATTTGATTTTCAATCTTGAAAAGGACGATGAAGGCGATACTGAGGCATCGAAAGTAGGTGCCGGACATGTGGCTGCTAATACAGTGCGACTTCTGATTGCTGGATCTCAAGCCGGTGGTTTGATTGGAGTTTCAGGTCAAAATATAGTTAACTTGAGGAATACATCCGGAGCAGCTATCACTATCATGTCTCCTAATCAGTTGCCTCCATGTGCATCTGCACATGAATCTGATCGAGTTGTTCAGGTAAGTTTTCAGGAGATTTTGTGCATTAAGCAGATTGTAAAGATGGATATGTTGCTACTTTTACCTTTTCACCCGTGGACTTGTGTCCATTTGTAAAAGTGTTCTTTCGGTGTTAAGTTGCTGGTTTAGTATTTATTTATGAGACATCCTGAACATAATTGAAGTAGAGACTACAGAGTTGTTCTGTCAAGGGGAGTCCCCTCATAATAAACTTCACCAAAGAACACTGGAGATGCCATATCGGTTGATGCCTTCATTAAATGAAAAGAATAAAAAAAAAAAAACAAATCAATTAGCGATTGGTAATTTACTTATGTGAGATAAACTAGGATTATTTGAGAATTTTGCTTCACCAGTTAGCCTGTGTTCCTGTGTTCTCAGTTCAATATATTGGGTTTGCTTTCTTGTATTTGTACAGTAGTCAGATATGTTTATACATTATATTGTTTTTGCAGATATCAGGAGAACTTCCTGCAGTTTTGAGGGCTGTTGTGGAAATTGGGTGTCAACTTAGGTGAATATTAATAATGGTTCTAGTTTATATGTTTATATTGACTACTGTCTAGCTATTTTCTAAAGTATCTAACTGTTTTTCAATTATAGGGATAATCCACCTAAACAAGTAATATCTGTCAACCCAACAAATAACACTGGCTTTCGTCGCCAATCACAACAGCATGTAGATCCTAATTCAGGTAATTAAAACCTTTGCAAAATATGTGATGCATTTGATTGCTTACTTCTCTGCTACCATGTGCCATCTTTAGTATATTAAACAACATATCAATATCCTTGAGATAATCAATCTTGCAGGTAGTTATGTAACTCTGGATGTCATGGTTCCCGAAAATCTTGTCGGCGGCTTGATTGGAAGATTTGGCGCCAACATATCAAGGATCAGAAACGAGTCTGGGGCAAACATTAAGGTAACTTTTAGTAATAACTATGAAGTTCGTGCTAATAAGTACTACCTCCTATTCTTTTTAAATGTCATTTTGGCTTTATCAACCATTAACAAAATAAATGACGTTTTGGATTTTTTGTACATATTTTTCCATTATTACTCTCATTTAGCTAATAAATACATTGCGTCTTTTCATAAACTCATTTCTTTCTCAAAACATTCATGTCTATCTTCATTAAAGAGGGTTATTATTGACAAAAAAAAATTCTTAATTACTGTGCAACTTTTCAAAACGACACTTATTATGAATAGGAGGGAGTAATAATTTAACTGAATTCAATGCCTGATCTCCATGGGGCCGTTGCTTATACTCGTATTTATTGCTTTCATTTATTTTGCAGGTTTATGGTGGGAGAGGTGAACAAAAACAAAGGCAGATCCATTTAGGTGGTAATGCTCAACAGGTATACACAACCTTATTTGCTTCTATTCCTCGAATCACTTTTGTAAAATCTACATGCCTTTTAATGTGAATTTAGTCTGACATAAAAATGAGAGTATTACTATTAATGTAATAATTCAAGAATAGGAGGTTAGTAATGATAACAAGTAGTCCGAATAGATCGACTGATTCAAAGTGATTAATATATCATCTTGTATTTCCTGCAAAAATTATTGAAACTCGAAATGCTTGATCCTTTATTATATGAGATGTGGAATACATTCTTGATGCCAATTCTCTAAATGTTAGGTTGCTCTTGCCAAACAACGGGTTGATGAGTACGTATATGCTGAGTTGATGAGACAAGCTGGGGGACAACTGCCACTAAGCGCTGTAACTGCTGCTCAGTTTCAGCAATTTCCTAGTCAACAGCCAGTGTAATTTGTTTTTCATGCTTTGCTAATTTTTGTAATTATCAATAGTAATTAGTTTAATCGCGCAATTATTTTTTCAACTTTCTCAGGCCCGACTCGTCGAATGCTCTCTACCAAGGTTATGCACATCCTCATGCCCTCTACGCAACAAGGTCAACATTTCGTAGTACCCACTTTGTAAAACCTGGCATCCAAACAAAACAAGACAAAACAAAACAAAGAAAGAAAGAAAGAGAATAATTTCATAAAATGCGTGTAGCTTATGGAGTTTAATGTTGTCGATTTTTTTGCAGTAATCAAGAATCTGGGTTGATGACTGCAATTTCTCCAATATATGGAACCAGAGCAATGAACCAGGTGCCACCGTACTATGACCCTAAGTCCTATCCTGCTCCACAATTTTAGTATGTTTTGTTCTCTGTGACTTTTGCTCGACCTTTATAGTTTGCGTGCTTTTTGACAACAATGTTGAATTTAATATTAGAAAATCCGAGTTTATTGAAATTTAAATACGAATATTTTTCATGTAAGCTAAAAATCATTAGCTAGACGAGACCTAGACATGCACTTAAAGATGCAATAACCTCTGTCATCATCATTAAATAAGCCTTAGGGAACATGATTGAGCAAGTGGGGCACATCTTTTAATCTCTTAAACCCAAATTTCTTAGCACAAATCTTTAATCAATTAAAATACTCCCTTTAATTAGCTCGAGATTATTTAACACTAACCCACGTGCACTTCTTCAGTGAGAATTTCATTTCGTGGCTGGAGACACGTTTTCCCCTTATGTGTATAGTGCCTAAATCGAAACTTGACGCTGGAGAAACGTTAAAGAGAAAAAAAATAAGAGGAATTTGTTTAAAATTCACCAGAAATTCTCTTGCAGTCGGCTCACTGTTTGTAATGATTGAAAATTTCTGTGTTGTCTCTGTTTTGGGGATAAACAGTCCCCAGTCTTCTACCCATCATTTCTCATACACATTTCGTTTTATTTTCTTTTTTTGAAAAATCCTTTCCTTTTGCCAAAAAGTCATTTACTGCATTAGAGTTTAGATGGTTGATTCTTTTTTTTTTTTAAAGAAAATGCTTCATATCTAAATTAATGAAATTCAATATGGTGAGGATTCAGGAAGGGATATAGGGTGATCTATAATTGGCAAAAGGATTGGATTTTGTGCTTTTGGTGGGAGACAAACACTTCACATATAATGAGGACCATAGCTTATTAAATAATTATTTGTAGAAAATATAGTAAAACCCATAAAGAGAAATGTCACACATCTCATAGCATTTGTAATTGCAATTATTGAAAGCATTTAAGACCGTCTTTAACGGTGACCCCAATAACTGGGTCACCAATTAAAAAAACATAAAAAAAAAAAGAAAAGGTCATGAAAAATGACCGATTGTGACCTTGGGTCGCGACCCATGTAATGTGTGGAGAATGGGACATTTGTCCCATTCTGATTGGATAAATTTATTTATTTTTTGTTTAAAAAAGTAAAATGATATTAAAATTCGTATTTTTTTATTCTCTACAAATAGATTTGATATATTTTAGAATAAAATTATAATTTTTAAATAAATTGAAATAAAATAAATATTTAGGTTGAGTTGGGTTGGGGATAAAGATAAATTGAGTTGTAAGATTGAGTTGCGTAAGTGGAGAATAGAGAAATAATTTTTAATTATTAGATTGAGTTTGATTGGGTTGGGGATAAAGATAGTCTTAGGTGGTATCGATGACCAATTAAAAAAGGCCCATGGCACGTGTTGTTCATTTCAATCCCACGTGATCGTCACTTTCATTAGTCCTGCTATTCATGTTGTGAGGTTTCAATTCGAGATACAATACAATTGCTCTATGGACTATGATTGACTAGATCAGTTCCATTAGAATTAATTCAAGTAGTATATGATATTATGATTGAGGCTTTTCGGGTTCGGGTTTACGGGTTGTGATTCATGCATGGGCCGTCCAGACCCGACTTGGTCAGTTAAGTTTGACTTTGAGCTTTGAAGCACCTTGACTGTGAGTTAATGCACATAGTCCTACTAATATGTTTAGCATGTAATGGAATGGTAATATAGTATTTTATACAAGTTCTTGGATGAGATTGTTTGATGGTTATGTAATCTTATAATGTAAAATGTGGTATTTCATTGTATCTTATTTTTTAAAAATATTAAATAAAAGTATAATCATCTAAGAAATAAACCATATCTAACGCTTAACATCAATACTGCGTTTTTTTGTTTGAAATGTTCACATGTATTTCCATTTTAAATGTAAAAACTTGATTTAAGTGTTATTTGCTAGCTCCCAATTCTCGCTACATGTTAAATTAGGTTTTCCACCAACCGGACCAAAATTTTGTAAATTATAACAAACGATCTGTTTAATACAAATACATTATATAGCACACTAATTGAGTCAAACCCTGCAATGCAATGAGTGATGAATAAATTATTCACTTATTATAATGAGATTTTGATGTTACCTTTCACATTCAAAAATAGGCCCTAATATTTAATTATTCTAAAGTCAAATGTCGAATTCTTTAATGATGATTCCTCATAAAAGATTATTAGATAAAACCTTTGAATCAGAAAATTAGTAGGAAAAAAAAGGTCGAACCTTGGATGTCAAAGCCCCAAATCCACGTGCCCCGCACGTTTTTTCCGTGTGTTTTTTGGGAAAAACTTGTCACGAGAAAACTCACCTTTCTCCACAAAGTCAATGGTCAACCCGGAAAAATAAATTTTTATTTCAAGGGCGTTACACAGTTGAAAGAAGAAGGAATAAAGCAAGCTTTTTGACTTGAACCGTGGTCTAAAAACATTAATTCAAGGCCGTGTTTGGTTAAAACATTTCGTATCCTTTGACATTTCGTGAAATTCCTTCTTAAATTTGTTTACTTGAGTCATCTTGAGTTTTATTGGAGTTGAGAAATAAAATAGTAGTCATGAATCTCTATTTGTTTAGTAGTAGTTCAAATGATTTTTTGTCATATTTTATATTGTCTTGCTTAGCCTATCTAGCCGACTTTTTTTTAATATACTTCATTAAGGTTTTTCCCTACCACCGATTCATGAAAAAATCTCATATTAGGATTGGGTATGAAACAAAATACCTTATCTTTTATTGACGTTTTAAGAATTACAATATAAATTTTAATATTTTACATACAATATTTAATTATTATACTCTCAAAAATAAATTATGCTACGACATAAAGAATGACATAAACTTTAATATAATAATATATCTCATGGTCTTATTACTTTACATATCACATTATCTTTAAAATCAGACCATTGAACATCTACGTCATTTGGTTATTTCTTATGTTATTTTGTTATGTTAATATTAAAATAGCAAGCCAATCACGATGGCTACTCAAGCAAGCCTATAAAGCTGCATTTTCTAAAAGTCGCACTCTTAAAATCAAAGTCCTCAAATCCCATCAAGGTGGTTGTGCCAATAGCTACCACGAAGTCATCATTCAAGTGTTATGTCTATACACACACCTATGTATATATGAATAACAACGGCACACAATGGCAAGTCAAACCTTACTATTGGATAAACAACTTTTTACAAAATTAGCATAGTTTTAAAAAATAATGTCATAGTTAAAAGTAACATGAATTAAAATACCATCTTTCACAATATAAATATATATTCTTCATAAATATATATAAATCCATTTAAATGATAATTTTTAACATATAAAACAGTTGTGATATATATAGTACATCAGTACATGTAAATCCTGCCCTATATTATCTTTATTGCGATAGGCCTCACAGTGAAGAAAAAAAAAGGCAGCAATCCCTCTGCTAAAAGGCAAAAGGGGTGAAAATTATATAAAAATAAAAATAAAAAACAAGAAAAAGACCAGCCCATTTCTCCTCTTCATGTCTTGTGCCCCCTTTCTTCTCTTTATTAATGCTCTATATAACTCATCACAAGGAGAAAGAAAGTGAAAGGCTTTGTCTGGCTTTATTTTATTTTATAGAGAGGGAAAGTAGTAGTTGAGTGTGTAAAATGAGTGAGCTAGGTGATGGGCTCGGGTTGAGCCTCAGCTTGAGATGCCCGGAAAATAATAATCCCGACCACCCACCGCCGCCGGCAGCCGCCTCTTTCCCGCTCAACCTCTTCCGGTCGCCGCTGCCTTTCGTTCCTCAGCACAAAACACCTGGTAAATCTCTCTCACACTTAAAAATCCAATCTTTTAAGTCATGAAAAAAATTAAAATTAGTAGATGACATTTATTTAATATTTTTTCAGATCTTTTTGGAGGGCCCACCAGATCGTTTTACAGGGGGATCGACGTCATCGCGGCGGCGCCGGGGGGCTGCGACGAGGAGGTCATGGTGTCGTCCCCGAACAGCACGGTGTCGAGCCTGAGCGGGAAGAGGAACGAGAGGGAGGAGAGCTCGCCGGAGATCGACGACGACGGCGGCGGGGACGCGGCTGCCGGGATGAAGAAGCTCCGACTGTCCAGGGAGCAGGCGGCGGTGCTGGAAAGCACATTCCGGGAGCACCACACCCTGAATCCGGTTAGTTCTTTACTTCTTTTGTTGTTTTTCAGCCAGGGGTATTTCGGGAAGAGTGCTCAAAATTTTGTATGCATACTCAATTTCACGGCATCACCATGTCGATTGAAAAATATGCATATATGTGATAAAAGTATAATTGCCTAACGGTTAGCCCCATAATAATATATTTTGTTGATGTAATTTAATGTTTTTGTCTAATTTTGTTTGGGGATTACAGAAGCAAAAAATGGCGATAGCGAAGAGGCTGAATCTGAGGCCAAGGCAGGTGGAGGTGTGGTTTCAGAACAGAAGGGCGAGGTTCGTTAAATTTTCACCTTCGCCAGGGGCATTTCGGTCAAGCGATCATTTTCTTGGTTCTGATATTGTTTGAAACAAATTTATGGTTGCTTCAATCTAAGATCAACTGAATATATGATAAATTTGAAATCATTCGAACAAGTTTACAAAGTGATTATGAATGCAGTGTGTGTTGTTTATAGAATAATACAAACTCTGTTGGAACTTGGAAGTGATTGGATCAACACTCTCCTTCATATTCCTATGAAAAAATTGGGGCTTTATAACTAAAATGAGGCTATTGTTTGGGAGATTCTTGAATCATTTAGAACTGATAGATGATTACAAATTTTTCCGACTAGTTATTGCCTTGATAAATAGTAGTGTAATAAAATGAAAGAATTCAGGACAAAGCTGAAGCAAACCGAGGTGGACTGCGAGTATCTGAAGCGTTGGTGTGAGAATCTAACGGTGGAAAATCAACGGCTGCAAAAGGAGGTATCGGAGCTTAAGGCACTCAAGCTATCGGCCCCTCGATTTTACATGAATATGAGCCCCCCAACAACCCTCATCATGTGCACTAAATGTGAGCGTGTATCAGCTCGTAAATCATAATTTCTTCTTCTTTTTTTGGGGGAGATTTTAGTTGAAAAAAAAAAATATGTGATGTGANCTTTTTTTTTTTCCCTAGTTTGTTTATTGATGGATTTGTGATGCTAAGGGGAGGAGAAAAGAAAAGTTGGCTCCTTTTTAATGTTGGAGATTAAGGGGTGACATTCTAAGTTTCTAACCATTGGATAAAAGTTTTTTGTTTTGTGAAGGAGGTGAATTTTTGTTCCTCATTTTCTCCATGAAGAGGGTTGTTAGATTGACTAGATTCAGTTTCATTAGTCTGTCCTTGTCATGATTGGATTTAATTTAAAATGAAGAAAAAGAAAATAAAAGGAAAAATTGATGTTCATCTTACTAATACAAAATCCATAATGAACTTGACAGCCTGTGCTTGGTTGCCATTTCAATTTAAGTTGATTAACACAAAAAACTAAAAGGACTGGCAAAAAGTTATAGGTCGAACAAGGAATTCGAATAATCCACATAAATAACTTCGATAATCCTGTACAAATATGCAGATAGTCCTACACTCCTACCCTAAATTTCAAAGGGGAAAGTTTTGCAACAGTAATGAACATATCCTTTATGTCGCGTTCATGATTACAGTATAAGAAATCGTTGGGTAAAGGTTTAATGACAATTCAAAAACTAAACAGTGTTGACATTGTCTGTCAACGAACGTAATATGCAACCTAATCCACCTTTCTCTGTCAGCTTTTCATGAATTCTTAAGCACTGATCACAAGTGGGCCGATCTCCAGTTGATAAACCTCTATATAAGTACCTGTAAAAGCACATATAAAAGAACCATAAATGAAAAATCAGATTCTTTTTAGTTTTTGAAAAAGAACTTTAAAAACGTATGAAATGCACTCATTCCTTGTGGATCCAGATTCGCATGAGAGACTTAAGAGGAAATTGAAGTTCACAAAACTAAGCACATGCAAGTATTCATGCACCAAATTTGAATCATTTAGTATTTGAATCTTTGAGCTAGAGACTAAGGGACGGATTTTTCTATCTCCTCCTTGCTCGATACAAAACTCTCGATAAAGATTAAGGAAATGATAGTTTAGTTACTGCTTCATATCTCACATTAACAAATAAACTTAACATGAAAAAAAATATCCAACTTACATGAAACAAATTTGGACAATTCAAAAATTGAAAAGACTGTTCGAGAAGATAGAAGTGGTGCATTCAACTCTTCAGCTATTATAAGTTGATCTTAAACCAATATGCTAAACCAACTTTCAATAAGGTTATAGCCAACTTGATTATTTCAATGGCACAAATGCGAATTATTGTGGTGCATTCATTATAACTAAACAGAATTTCCACAACTAGTGATCAATGCCCTCATACCCACATAAAATCCTAACTGTAACAATTGCTTACGATATTTGATCAGCATCCTTGATCAAATATCAAACATAAAGGCCTCCAAATCACTGATTGTGAGATCTAACTTTTACACGCTGTTAACAACAACCTTGAAGATCTCATAAATATCGAATGTGCCTTCACGAGGCCTAATTTGTAGACCAAAACACATTCTTTTTCTGTTAATCATAAGAGCCAGGTGAACACTATTACCAAACAAAAAATATATTTTTTTATAAAGAAGTTCCATTGGATTATACAACAACACACTCTATCCTCCAGCACATGGGATAGACAAGAAAGAAGCTAAAAATACGGTTACTTTAACAAATAAACTCATCAAAGAGAAATAGCAAAATAAGCAATCGGCATCTACTTACTTCATGAGGACATCATAGTACTCAGGATCAAGAGCCGAGAACAAACTTTCAACATCTTTTATTGCCATTATCGCCCTGTGCACCACTATCCAGTTCGCAGACTACAAAAAATAAAGGAAAACTACAATTCAACACCATTTTATTCAATTGATATTAATAATACAAAAATGTAAGAAAACCAGACAAAGAAGAAAAAACACACGGACACAAGAACATGAGACAAAATCGTAAATCCAAGCTAACATACTTGGATACAAAATTTATCCAAAAAATCCAAACATTTTTAACTCAACCATTTTTTTTAACTCAACCCAACTATCATTAATATTATTAATATAATTAAATAATATCAACCAATCATTCTTACATATCACATCAACCTTAATTCAGTATTCATCCACTCACATAATTTTAACTAACCATCACTTCAAATCTCTCTCTCATACTTTTATATCAAATCAACTTTATTTATTTTATTTTAAATATTATTTTAATATACCCACTAACAACTAACCATACCACATTTTTCAAAGTTAACCAAACTAAACCAAAAAATCCAAACAAATCCAAAAATTTTTATATCCAAGCATAGTATTCTATGGGCAAGTGGCAACTTATTGAGAAAGATGCATTATAACCTTACAGCGCTCGTCTTTGGTCATGGGCGGCGACCCTTCAAGAGCTGTTTTCAAAGCCTCCACTGGTTTGTACCTAAAAATTCCACAATCAAATAAAAAAAGCCAAGAAAAACAACGCAATCTCATGTGGGTTCCCCTCAAAAGAACATCTTTTTCCACATTTTGTGATATTTTCTGGATGATTTTGTAAAATGACGTACTGTTTGAGCAAGCTCTCGATCTTGCGGGACTTTTGTTCGATTCTAGTGATGATGGCTTCCGTGTTGTCCGCGAATTCCGCCATTTTCGCGTTCGAGTATTGCTTCTGATGCTGATTTTGGGATTCAAAATTCAGCTAAAACAGATTAATTAGGCGCGCAGAGATATGAATTAGGGATTTTGACTTTTCCCCCAAATGCAAAATTCTATTTCTAAGGTACGGACGTTAGTGAAGAGTAGTTGATTTTCTGTTAGCATGCGGGGACCATTGGTTCATAAACTTCACAGTGGCATAGTCAGGAGTGTGTTCTGTGTTCATATGTCTAAAAATGTTAAAATAGATTAATAGTTAAAGATATACTATGCTTTATCACAACAAGATGTACTACACAAATGTTATATTTTTATGTGTGTCAATTTTAATGTATTATATTTAAATATGAAAATATGTTTATATGTAAAAAAAAATTAATTTATAACTGTTTTAAACTTATTAATACAAGAAATGTTAGATCAACAAGAGTATATTTTTATACATTTATATTATAAAGTTGGCACTTATCTCTACATACTACACAGCTATTTGGTGTGTAACACCTACCCATAAATGTCTAAAACAGAGATCAAATTATGGACAAGACAAAAGGCAAACTGTCAAAAACTACTACAAAACGGTCAAAATATTTCACCTTTTTGAAATTTCTAACTGGTCTCCTCTCTCTTTCATCTCCTTTTTTCTTGTTAAACCATATACCTTTGACAAAAAGCCTGCTTTGCTTCATCTTCACCCAATCTCTCAACAATGGCGTCGCCACCACCACCATCGGGAAAACCCCATCTCACATTCCCGCAACAGCCCTCAAAAGCCCGGAAAATTCCAAGCAAGCCCCAATCGACCTCCGTCTGCAAAACCCTCGCCGTCCTCGCCCTCCTCCTCGCCGTCCCGTTCTTCCCCTCACAGGCGCCGGATTTCTTCGCGCAGACCGCCGTTTTATCACAGTTCTGGGAGGTCATCCACCTGGTCTTCATCGGAATCGCGGTTTCCTACGGCTTGTTCTGCCGGAAATCCGAGGATCTCGAGATCTCGAGTTTCGACGACGCCGACGCGTATTTATCGGGTATTTCTCGTTTATCCTCCGTTTTCGAAGATGGGTTGGGGAATGTATGTTGTGGGCCCGACGGGCCTGAGTTCAATGCTGTGCAGGGCTATTTTCCTAATTGTCAGTGTTTTGGGGGTCAGTTTGTGGGTAAAAGTAATAAATGTGTGGTTCATGGGGGTAATAGTAGAAAGATTAGATCTTTCGTGCAGAAAAACGGTGGTGAGGATGATATTGCTGCTAGTTTTGGTGATGCGGAAAATGTTATAATGAATCAGACTTGGAATTCAAAGTACTCAAAGATTGAATCTTTGGTAGTTGTTTCTGATGGGGATAATGTTCTCAAGGGGAGTCTTGATTATAGGCCCTTGAATTTGCCTGTTAGGAGCCTGAGATCTGATATTGTTGAGAATGATAAACCAGAGTTGCAGAAGAAAGACGATTCGAGTCCTATGTTCGAGTCTAAGCGGAAAAATGGTGTGAAGGTCAAGAAGATCAGAAGCTTGGGGCCCACGAACTTGGAGAAGAAATTCGACGAGCCCAATGGGTTTTCGTTCATCCCCTGGCAGTCGAGATCTGGAAGGATGGAAGAGAAAGATGAGTTGTGTAAGCCCAAGCAAAATGTGCATTGTAGGCCTCACTCGAATGGGGACTTTGAGTTCGATCAAGTTGAGCCCCGATCTAAAAAAGTTCTCAAACTTTCTGGTTCTCCTGAACAAGGAACATCGAAAATAGAGGACGAAAAAGAGATTATGGCCCCACGTCAGAAAATAGCGCCCTCAAAGGATGAAACTTTGATTAACAGCTCAAGGGCTCGACCGTTTAGTGTTGGCTATAATAATAGTTGTGAGGAAGATAAATTTGGAAAAGGCAAGAAGCAGATTGAATTCTTTGACTCGGATGTGAATGCGTCGTCCGGCTTTGGTAAAGCTTTAATATCTAAAGCTAAATCAGTTAGGACGAAGAAATCGAGTAAATATGCTGTAGTAGATGGGAAAGAAGAAAGCTCGAGCCAAATTGATGCCGAGCTCGAGAGGCTGTGTAGTAATGACTTTGGAGATAAATCTTTTGAGAAAAGAGGAAAATGGGAAGAGCCTGAGAAAAATCTGGTTAAACATGAAGAAGAAAGAGAAACTGACCGCCATTTTTTGTTGGCCAAGCCAAAACTGAAAATACCTGATTTTTTTGGTGATGAGAAAGAAGAGATTGCCAAGCAAATTGTCATGGAGTCTGAAGATGAATTGGAAGACGATAATAAAAGTGAGTTTGATGAGAGTTGTGATGAAAGTGATTCGAAAACGAATGTTGACTTTGACTTGGGGAGTGAAGTTGACCGAAAGGCTGGCGAGTTTATAGCTAAGTTCAGAGAGCAAATTCGACTCCAGAAAGCTTCGTCGGTAGATGGATACAGCCGGGAATTTCTGTGATCGTTCACTTGAACAAGAAGGTACTTTATTTTGTTCATTTTATTTATTTGCAGGTTGTAAATTTTCATATTTCCACTAAATTGTTTTGTATGGTCTACAAAAGTGGGCAACAACACATCTGAGGTTTGCATATAACTTTGTTCTTGATTTCGCGTTAACGATGTGGTTACGTGTTATACCATATGGGGTATGTAGTTGAATGAGAAAAACACTTATGGTTGAAATTTAAGGAATTGTCATCTCCATTTTGTAGCTTCTATTTTTTNNCTCTCTTTCAGTCCTGTGGAAAATAGAGTAGCTTTTTATGGGTGGTGTTTGTGCAATTGCTTGTGTTTCATGAGATTGTGGGGAATTTCGGGTTTTCACGACACGTATGGATATATGTGTGTGTGTTAATCCAACGGGAAAAAATTCGATGACTGCACTATAGCCAAAGGATCAAATGCTCCAAACTGTAGATGAACACTTGCAAACTGAGGATAAAAGTATGATAATACAATGCTTGACTATGAATAAATTTGGTGAAGTTATATAAGAAAAACTGTGCTTCGATCAAAGTTGAATCCTGAAATCAAATGGATGGATCTTAACAGACATCACTATGGATTTGAATGGGCTGGGCCAAGTGTTTATTGACTGATATGACCAAGATGTAGCCCAAAATCGCATCAAATGGAGTGTATATGGCCCACCTTAGTTAGGCCATATTCAACTATTAACGAATTGTAATATCTTATGAGAAAATTACGCCTACAACGAGATCATCACAAAATATTTGCAAATATACTGCTAGAATATTTTATTAGCAAAATTAGAAAACTTATCCTAAATATTTGCAAATCAACGGAAGTTACTAGTTAACATCTATTTCTCTCTCCTCTCATTTTTATTCTTTTACGGAAGTTACTAATTAACATCTATTACTAGTTAACATCTTATTTGACTAGCGACTTGTATTAGTTGTTTGTAAATAATTGTTTGGTAAATAATGAATCATATAACTATAATTATTTTGAAAACTTTACGATGACATGTTTTTCGACGAATTCTCTCTTATCAAAACGCTTATATATTAAACTTAATCAAAATTAGTGTTTTGGAATTAAAAAAAGTAATCAAGTAAATTATTTACAGATAAGCTAATCGGTTGATTTGACGGGTCAAACCTCTATGTAGTTCAATTCGCTAAATATACATCAATCTTCTAAAATCCAAACAAGGCCATGAACTAATTGGATATGAAAGGAACAAAATCAGCAGTTTGTGATCATAGATTTGAGAGTGCAAATATTATTGGAAAATACATTAACCCAATCAGTCATATCTGTAATAATGTAATCTGGAACCCATTAGTCAATGTTGAGTTTTCTAATTATCTAATTCTGGCTGAGATTCACGCTCATAATAAACAACTTACTTATGGACCACGAAATTTTGTTTATGAAGTAAGAAATTATAAGAATAATGCAAGAATCAGTCAGTAGTATTTTGAATATCAACCCTGTGGATTTCATTAGATCTAGGATTAATCGATGGTAAAACTCAAAAATTCTTTCCTTTTTTTGATGGATTTCTTACTTTGTGATGATGACACTTTTGTGTGGTATAAATATTGATCATGTGATTTATTTAGCAAAAATTATCGTTGAACTTTACCTTGAAATTATTATTATTATTATTATTATTATTATTTTAAAAAATGTACAAATATCTCATTGCTTATGCCATTTTTCATAATTTTTTGGAACAATTTATTTCTTTTATCTACGGCAGACACGAATTAATATGGCGGGACATTAGAATATCATATAAACTATTGTTATGTGATTAAAAATCACGAAATCTTAACTGGTGAACATACTTTAGTTTATGGTAAGTAGAAGTGTTAATGAAATAAGTTGACCTCGAGTTCATTCAGGGTCGGTGCTGGGGTAGGGCGGCCCCAGTGACCGCCTAGTCCCCTCTTACCCCAGGGCCCACTTGTAAAATAATAAATATAAATTAATTTTAAATTTTAATTTTTTTATTCTTTAAACAAGACTTTTCATAGTTTATCCACCTTCTAATTTCATGACAAAATTAAAGAGTAGTTATTATTAGTGGAATTATTAATTTTGACATATTTCATCTTATTCTTTTAATACTTTGTTAATTTTTTCTTCTTGCTTGAATATACAACATACTATTTTATGATTGCACAATTTAATTATGTTAGTGATAGCCAATAAAAGAGTTAAGTGATGTCAATTTATTTTTAGACGAGTTTCAATTTAGATTTGTTATTTACCAATAATAAAATCTATATAACTACAATTGAGTATTATGTACTTCACTAAACTTAAGTCATATATNCCAAAAACAACATTTAACACATTTCACTCAAAACCTTATAATGTTCAAGATCGGCTCTGAACTCACTGTACTCAGACTCATTAACTAGTAAAGCTTGTTAACTAACCAATATTAAAGTTCAATCTCAACTATTTATTTTTTAAATTATCTCGTCGAGCTCAAGTGAGCTCACAAATGAGTCATCTCGTTTCATTACTGCTGAGCAAATCCCATCCGTTCTTTACAATGAGAATATGAAAGGTGGGGCTAACGATAAAACGGCCACGCACATGAAACAAACGACCGGACAAAGTAACGGTCAAAGTAAATGCAAATAGTACTAAAAAGTTACTAATCAAAATAACAAAAATAATTATAAATAGGAGAAATCTAGAGAGGAAAAAAAAAGGGACCATTTCCCTTTGAAGTGACTAAAACTTATAAGCAAATATTTTTGTTTCAATCATACAATTAGTGAACTTTAATATATGAAACACGTTACGCTAGTTGTGGGTGAAATTAATGAGTCAAAACGTTATTTACATTCAAAATGGGAAGTGAAATCAATATTGAAAGTAAATATGCAGTTAAACCATGTTTTGCTAGTTGAACTTTGAATGTATCTGTTTTCTAATGCACTTATATAAGGGGATATATACACACTTATTCACAAAATATACATATATATAATGTAAATGTGAGTACATTTTAAAAGATATAATAAGATATGTAATTGTCACAATATCTATAGATGCAAGATAGTTGTATCGTGATATTTTATGCAGCACCACTAAAATGGCTACTTAATTATTTCTTACTCCGCATTTCATCAAATAAATGTTGTAGTGTTGTCTAATATTATTAATTGATCATAAACTATATTTTATATATTTGCAAGTAAACAAAATTATAGATTCTTATTATCATGCATTTGAGACATTATTTTAAAACAAGCAAACTCAACATCCATGTCGTGTATTCACATCAACCTAATTTATCACTATTTGATATAATTATAAAATTACAATTTAATAACATTAGAGATCACATTAATCAAATTTATATTATTTGATATAATTTTACATTTCTATAACATCAGAGGATGGATCTCTTGAATGAGGCAACATATGATTTTTATTATTAATTTTTTTTTTATTTTTTTTTGGGTAAATCCCATTTGTATGCAGCAAATTTTGTAACATAACCCTCTCGTGAAAAAAATTGGACTCGCTGTAATAATATAAAGGAGAAGAGGGGACGTTGGTTCCGGTTTTCAGCAAGAGTTTGTTGGGAGAAAAAAGAAAGCTAGAGAGAGAAACTTTGTCAAAGGCAAACAAACGCCATCGAGTGGCTTCTTTTCATATCTTCCCCGTTTGTTTAATGTTATTTTTAGCACACATACTTTGCAAGCAAACTAAGCCCAACAACCATTGAAAGGCTCTTTGGCATACTTGCCGAGTTTTACTCTTGCTTGATCTGTGAGCATATATAATTGTGTCTGTTAATACTTGCAATTCGTTTTTGGTTGTTGTAGGGGGCCTTTTTTGTTTTGGGGTGTAAGATCACTTGATCTAGAAATGCCCATTCTTGATTTGTATTTGCATTTCGTTTGTAGGGATTATCGAAGGTGGCAGATTGTAGAAAACAGTAGATTTTGCTGTTGTTGTGGTGGTGGTGGTTGTCTTAGATGAGTCTTTCCTGATGGAATTTGTGGGTTTGTTGTGGATTTCTTGAATTAGGTTCTGATTTAGGGTTTTATTAATTAAGGAAAAAAAAAGTTCCGGCCTTTGNCCTTTATGTGGGTTTTTTTTAAGGGTTTCATTGATGTGAGCCTGTGATCGATTTTGGCCCGTTCTGAAGCTTTGTATATCGTTTTATTTTGTTTTTGAGGCTTGATTTGTTCTTTTGAGTTGAGTAATTTAACTTTGAGTCAATAGAGATGTATATTGAGGAGCTGAAAGAGGGAGATTCAGAGAGTGGTGAGCACCAAGTTTGTAGTGATCTTTATAATAGCAGTGCTCTGGTTGTTTGGGACCCAAAAAAGGTTTTAGTTGGAGCCGGGGCCCGTGCCCTTTTCTATCCGACATTGTTATATAATGTTGTTAGAAACAAGATCCAGTCCGAGTTCCGGTGGTGGGATAAGGTTGATGAGGTATTATGCTTTGAAAAGTTATCTTCTGATATTTTCTTTATACTAACTGAAGATTTATGGAGTTTGTTAATGGCTGCTCTCTGAATATATCTTCATGTTAACGTTTTGGTCAGGTTTGCATTTTACCGATGCTCATAACAGCACAGTGATTATCTTTTATATATAGATATACAATTGATTGATGAGGCAATTTAGCGTTTCTTCATGTTCGTACAGCTAGCACGATTGTATTTTTTATATAAGGGATGTTTTATTTGGTGAAATTGACAAGGTAACAGAATTACCAATGACATCTTTAGATCATGCTTACATGGAGCACAAGTGAGCGGAGATGACTTAACAATGTTATTGACGATAGTTCGCTGTACTAAAAATATTGTTTTTTATTATTATTTGACTATTTTTTATTTTTTGGCGGTGAATCCCGCTTGGATGGTGTCATCAAAGCCTTGAAGCTATGAAGTATCTTATCTAACAAAAATTGGGAAAGTTTATTTTTCTTAATACAACCGGAAGTGTTGAGTTTGACCCTAATATTTTATGGATTCAAAGATTTATTTCACTAAATGATGCTTGAAATCTTGAAGTATGAAATTAATTGAATTGGATTTCTGTGGATATATAAGAACAATACTATTACATGGCACGTTCTTTTGTTTGTGCCTTTCTATCTACTTTGCTCTAGCCTACCCCAACTTGTTTGGGACTAAAAGGCTATGTTGTTGTTGTTGTTGTTGTTGTTGTTGTTGTTGTTGTTGTTGTTTCTATCTACTTTGCTGCCTATATTGACACTTTCTCCTTTGTTAGTATGTTTTGCTAGGAGCCGTTCCATTTCCAACTGACGTGCCTCGCTTGAAGGCTCTTGGTGTAGGTGGCGTTGTTACCTTGAATGAGCCATACGAGACATTAGTCCCGACGTCATTATATCATGTAAAGCTAAATTATTTTTTCCTTTTAAACATCTTTCATGGATTTTAAGTTTCTTTTTGCTAGACATTTTATATATGAATTATTGAATAATTTCCTTCTTGTACTTTTTATCATTTGCCAGTGGCAAACTCAGCATATACCCTTTTTTATTTTTTTTATTTCGCCTTTCCCGTGTTGGCTTAGTCTAACAAAATGACTTCCTTTCCTTGTTAGATAGTATCGTCTGGCTGGCAGTTTTGATGAATGTATATCTTGAATAAATGCAATAATATTCATCACTTGTCTAACTACATCGACATAATGCGTTTTTATGACATTTATCTTCCTTTCTGCGTGTAGGACAATAGCATTGAGCATTTGGTGATTCCCACCCGTGATTATCTTTTTGCTCCATCACATGGGGATATATGCCTGGCTGTCGAGTTTATTCATGGTACATTGAAATTTTTTTTTTTTTTTATTTTTTTTCTGATGTCATGTTTGGATTGAAGGGTTTTGGTTAAGGTTTGGAGGATTTCAATTTTGAAATAGCTTCATAAAAGTAAAAGATGGGGAACTCATCGAATTGTAATCTCTCTCTCTCTTTTTTTTTTCCTCTCTTTTATCATTTTCCTTTTGTCTCTTTCATCAGACAATGCACTGTGTGGCAAAACTACATACGTTCACTGTAAGGCTGGCCGAGGGCGTAGCACTACAATTGTTCTGTGTTACCTGGTACATTACGTCAGCAAAATCAAATTAATAAAATCGACCTTGTTTAGATATTATTCTTATTGTGTACAATATTGAACCTTTTTGTTTATCAAAACTAGGTTAAACACAAGCAAATGACCCCTGAAGCTGCATTCGAGCACGTGAGGTCCATTAGGCCAAGGGTGTTATTGGCCTCTTCCCAGTGGCAGGTAAGATTGGTCTTCAACTTATGCGATTGTCAAAAAATAGCTCTAAATTTAATAGTTCAATTGAATGGCATTGGCGATTAATTTCTATAGAGTCCAAGTTTAATTGGAATGTTATTGGCTTGTTATTGCCACACTAAAAACCCATATGAATCTGGAAAAATTATTTTCTAAAGTGAATTACTTCTTTTGACTTAAAAAATTGTTTTCTAAAGTGAATTCCTTCCTGTATATTTTTCGATTAGATTAATTTATTGATTCGAATTCTGAAAAAAATGCAGGCTGTTCAAGATTATTACCATGGAGTCAACAAAGCTGATACCGAAGCTTATGCAGACAATTTACTCATTGATTTCCCCACCAAAGTCGTTGAACAAGATGATTTTGACGAGAATTCGTTGGTGGTAATAACTGAATCAGACCTTGATGGATATGATGAGGAAAAAAACCATGGCTGTGACTCGACAGGTAAGAAGATGCTGGCCGAAGTAAACCTCGCGTGCAAAGTTCATTTCGCCAGTCAAGCAGCAATTTCCAGGCTCTCGTGCCTATGGGTGACGGGACAGAAAGTGTCGAGAAAGAAGCTCTCGAGCAATGTTACAAATGGCCGAATCGGGACAATGGGTGTTGATATCCATGTTTATTGACTTCTTTTTACCGTCCTGTACAAAGTTCTTGTTCGTTCGTACCCTCCATCGAATTTTAGGTTGTCAGTATAAAGGAATAATAAAGATATGTTTTTTTGGGTCTTTCTTTTTTTGGTTTGTGATGTGTTTTATGGCTTAAAAGGGCTTTTTCAGCCTTTCTTGTACAATTGCCAAAGAAAGCGTTTGGAATGCGGTGACTTGGTAAGTGTACAGTTAGAGAGTTGTCTAGAGTTGGAAAGTTTATTCTGTTTAGCGATCGGAGTTTTTTTCGGTCGAGTCGGGAAGGCACAATCCGGTTTTGTGCAGTGTACAAGACATGTTTTGTTTTATTAATTATGGTTTTTTAAGTCATTTTCCAGTTTTTGGTGATTTTTTCATTATCTGCAAATGCTAGTTCTTCGGAATGTTGAGTGAGAAGCATGTTCATGTTTAATATGTATCAATTTTTGTGGTAAATTTTGGTTAATTATCAAAAAATGAGTTCGATCGAGGCTCGTTTAACTATACTAACAAGTCGAGTTTGAGCAATAAAAGTGCTCAACGAGTGTAGCTCAAACTTTAACAAACTGAACTATAAAAAATGACATACTTGGCTCGACTTGTTAACTAAACTAGCTCGAGTCTAGCTTACGAGCAGCTCGTTTCGTCTGACAACTGTAACTAATATGAGTGAAAAATAAAAAAGCAGTTACAGTAACTGACATGAGTAAAAAGGGTACTATTGGAATATTATATGATTCATATTTTTCAGCAGCTGTTCATAAAACAAACCAACCAAGTACCAAGTGATGTAGATAAAGGTCAGAAATCCAAATCCGTTCGTCTCTGCCATTTTTTGGTGGAAGAAAAAGTAAAAGCGACACAATAAAAAGGCTCTAATTATGATTTGAAAGCTTGAAATTTGAGCAAGAAATTGAAATTGATTATAGATAGATATGTCTGTTCTCTGTTCCCCACTTAATTCCACTCGACATTATTTCCAATGTAAGTCTCTCTCTCACTCTCGTTCGATTTGTATCTCAGTTATTGTTTGATTTTTTGGGTTTTTGTTAATTGAGCTATAAAATCAAAACCAGAAATGCTCTGTGGCTTTCGCAATTTTTTTTCTGATGTTTTTGTTCCAGTCATTGAAATTCAGCTCATACCTCCAACCCTATTTTTCCTTTTTCTTTTATTATTTTACTAATTTATCATTACAAGTTGTGTAATTTGAGTACATTCAGGCGTTTCTGTTTCAAGATATCCGGGTCATGGATCGTGTTATGCTCAGCCGAGACCATTGTTAGTTGCTGGCCCGCTCCATAATATGGAGCTTGGCAGGTAATAGTTACTCTGTATTACATAGAAATATATAACTAGGATGAAAAAGTTGTAGTTTGAAGTATTTTCTCATCAATACTATGAACTGCTAATTCAGTAGTTTGCTTGCTTATAATCTATGCTCCTCCTTAAATTGCTAGAGAACAGGCTAAAGGCTCGATTCACTTTGGTTTAGACGAGAAATTAAAGAAAAGAGTTTTGCTCACCTTTCTGGTTGGACCAATCATGTGGCCAACATTAGCGTCTTTCGGGAAGACTAAGAAAGAAAACCCGTATAATGAAAGACGCATTCTCGAGCAGAACAAGCGGATTCAGAGGGAGAATAACGTGCCTGATGAATTTCCTAATTTTGTTAGAGAAGGTTTGTTCTGATCTTACCTCAGTTATGTTGGTAGTGGAACTATAATGATAACATAGTATTTTTGTTTTTTATTCTTTTGTGGGGGGAAATTTGGTTCAGGTTTTACCGTTAAAGTGGTGACATCGGAAAACTATGTCACGCGCGACTCGGGTCTTATTTTGTGGGACATTGCAGTTGGTCAAGGCGAATGCCCAAAGGCTGGTCAGCAGGTTTCACTTTCATTTACTCAGTTTATCCATTCTTTTTGGTCTTGTTTTTTTCTCAAGGATTGATAAATTAACTTAAAATCTGGAAATTGAGCTGCATGTACCCGGTTTCATTGAAATTTCCAAATAACGAAACTTCCAAGAAAATGTTACTATGAGAAGATAAGAGTAGATTTTGAATGTTCGGTTCGTAAAGTGCTACGATATCTATCTTTCTCTAAGAATAGAAATACATATTTTCGTTCTCTATGTTTTTGTTTAGGTGATATTTCACTATGTCGGTTACAATGAGTCCGGGCGGCGTATAGACAGCACTTACATACAAGGTTCCCCTGCCAAAGTTCGGCTGGGCAATAATGCTTTGATTCCAGGTGAATAGACATAAGACCATGCGATGTAATTCTTTTGGTTTTATTCTTTTTTCGAGATATTTATATTAAGACATTGGAAAATCGGAAACAGGGTTCGAGGAAGGGCTTAGGGACATGAAGCCCGGAGGAAAACGGAGATTAATTATTCCCCCAGAGCTTGGACCCCCGGTGAGTAACTTTCCTTGTAGAAGCCGAGAATCAGTTTTTCTTAGTTAAAAAGGATTTTCCTAGGTCAAAAAATTTTGAATTCCAAATTTTGAAATTCATCATAATGGCTGGCAACAAATCAACAATAATAAATCAATATGATTAATTGACTATCATAAATAAACAACAAGTTCTTCGAATGCCTTTCATATATGTTCAATTTTGATAATTTATTTACATGATGAAATTTCCTGTTGCTTAAACAGGTAGGACCTTCCACTTTCTTCAGCTCCAAGCAGTTTGAAGTATTTGATGTAGAACTGCTGAGCATTCAAGATTGCACGAGGCGGACTATCGGATTTTATTCCGATGTTGTCTGCAGTTGAGCAAGATGCCATCCAGATTTTTTCTCTTGTCAAGTGCTGTTAGAAACATCGAGCGATGCACTTGAAAAAGTTCGAATACACTGAGCCTAAAGGGGGAATTAGATTAATAATTTATTTGTTTCGCTGTGTCGTAATGTAGCTACTATCAGTACATGCTTTTTACACAAACAGATAAAAACTTCAATGTCTAAGTGCTAAAATCAGTCCGAAATTCTAGGGACGGCTGATTTTTTGTTCTGTCCTCCAAGAAGATGATCAGACTTGAACTTCATCCTCGGACGAGCCCTAAAAGAATAATAGATAGCAGAAAATTCAAGGTCAGGGCAATCTTGAAGGTCAATGGAACTTCACTAGCAAAAACTCCATTTCCCTCTGAAAATTCTTTAATTGCACAGCAACAAGTGCATACTTAGACAACCAAAAATGATTTTGATACATAGACACTGCATAACATTATGTAGCTAAAAATTTGTTCAAAAGTGCTCATAGTTCAGAAATACCAACTCAATCCTCAAAAAAACCAAGCAAAAAAAATATCAAGAACTCCAGAATTGATAGTAAAAAATGTAAAACACAATTTTTTAAGAGGGGTTTTGGCAAATGGAAAAAATCGTGAGCTTGTACAACAAGTGCCAGTGGTAAGTTATCAGACACATTAGAACTTACAGGATTTGCATGAAACTGGCCATAGAATGCATAAACAGCAAGTGCCACAATGCTGAGGACTACAAATCTCACCCAGGCTTCATAGTGGAGCTGTAAAAGGATGTAAAAATTCCAAATGAATTAGTAAATTTTATTCACCTCCAATGCATGAAATTCATGAAGCAGAACATAGCAAGAGCATGGCTATCGAGTTACCTGAGCGACCAAGAAAATATTGACGAAAATGCTAAGTGCTGGAATTATTGGAACTCCAGGACAAGAAAAACCAGGCGGATCAATATAAACCTGGAGCAGACATTAAAACAAAATTATTCACACAGGCATAACTTGTCACTTTATCAAATGTACAATTATTTTAGCATCCTGGTTTTATCATAAACTTGCAAATTTTGCTTCATTTTCACATTGCTAATAAAACAAAATAGAAACTATCAATTTGAGAAACCAATGAGTGGTGACTAACTTGTCGTAAGTGAAGAGCCACAGCAAAAAAGATTGCAAGCACAGTCGGTACAATCATGAAAAAATATGTAGATCCAAAACGAAAGATGGCACCAGCTGCAAAACCGCAACCAGCAACCAGAAGGAGGCAAATTATGCCTTCCACCCGGTTTGATATCCAACGAGCAGAAAACTGACCCGTCTTATCTTTCCACCTCATGCTCACGACACAGGCTGAAACAACTGAATACCCCGTCTGAAACAAAATCATTCACCCGATTACGACAAGCTCTCTTTTCATGATTAAACACTAAACAATGCAATATTGGATCACACACACACACACACACATACATATATGTATGCGCATACATATTCAAAAATAAACATTTGCATAACGCGGATTAGATTACGCGGCTTAAAAATTGTCCTAGGAAAAAGAAAACTCTCGCTTTTGTCAGTTCAGAGGAAGCAATTTACGAAATGCCTGTAACATACCAAGGATCCAACAGACAGAATATGGGAAAGCACGCGAACGTTAAGAAAGGTCGCCAAGATGCTGGCAATAAGACCAACCCACACTTGGGAATGAATCGGGGTACGACGTGTTGGGTGCACTTTGGCAAATAAAGCTGGTAATAAACCGTCCCTTCCAAGCCCGAGATATAACCGAGACTGCCAAAGATAAAGAAAGCAAAAATCATTTGTTGCTTGGTGAAAACTGAACAAGTTCCTGATTAAGACCCAAAAGATTAAATGACAGTTTACCTGAACATAAAGTCCCACTAGGAGCGTAGTGGTGAGTCCAGCAACAGCACCAAAGCTGATCAGCACCGAGACGTATTTCATGCCCTTGGAGGTGAAAGCTTTAGCCAGAGGTGCTTCTTCTCCAATCATATTATACGGGAGCATTCCAGTAATCACTAAGCAGACCCCCACATACAGTACAACACAGGCCATGAGACTACCTATTATGCCTAGTGGCAAGTCCCTCTGGAGATGAAATTCAGAAATTGAGTAATTCGGGTGAAAATGTGATCCTTTCTTTTAAATGCCAGTAAAATGTCTGCACATGAATAACAAGTAAAACCATGTGGTGTGAAATGAAATCGCTTTGCTTTTGACATACCTGTGGTCTCTTGGATTCTTCAGCAGAATTAGCAACGGCATCGAATCCTACATATGCAAAAAAGACCACTGTTGCTCCAGTCAATATTGACTTAAAACCATGTGGGGCGAATGGAGACCAATTTGAGACATCCACCTCAAAGGCCCCAGCAATTATGACAAATAGAACGATGAGAACCTGCAGAAAGATTTCTTTGTTCTGTCAAACATAGAGACCGTAGTATAGCTATTACAAGTTCAATGTTGACATTCTCTGTCAAATAGGAAACATGCCAAAAACTATCCGGACTACTTGTTCAGAAGAAGGTAATGCAAATATATAAAGCAAGAACACTTGGTGGCACATTATTTACTATTGGTGCGTCCATTTTTTTCTGCTCTTCTTGCAATAGTATCTTTACACTGTATCTGATAAACTGAGTTCAATAGTTAGCAACTAGCAAGTTACTGGTCAACTCTAGTATCAAATACAACACCTCAGTGTTGTCCTTTTGTTTCATATTTGTAAGTTCAAAACTTCGGGAGGGAATTAGTTTGGTTGGACAGAAATAACAAACCTTTGTCACAGTCATTATCGCATTCAATATTGAAGATGCTCCTACTCCTCGGCATAGGACCAGAGTCAGAATGATTAAAATAATGGGAGCTAATATGTTAATAGATAATGGCCCCAGTACTTGTTCGCCATGCCCGATCCAGTTAGGAAAGACACCCTTGAGAGCAGGAATCAGCTCCAGCACATTAATCAAGTAGCCCGCCAAGCTACGTGCTATGCTGGCAGCACCAATGTGGTAATCGAGCATCAACTGGGTAAACACCAGAAAAGCAGTGAGCTCATTGAAAGCAGAGTAGGTGTAGAGGTAAGCTCCCCCAACCACGGCCGGAAAACGAGAAGATAGTTCAGCATAACAGAGAGCGTTCAGGACACAAGATGCACCAGAAATAACGAAGCTAATCGTGACTCCTGCAGCAAGACCAGACGAGAGTTCATTTCTCACAAAGATATATTCAAATGACATAAACAAAAGACGATATATGTTCTGAAGAGAAATCATTAATGTGGCTATTCTGAAAGGTTTGTTAAATGACCACAAGTACACCCTTACAATAATGTTAAGGCATTAAACTTAAATAGATCAAACACCCATTAGATATTTCAAACTCCACAGACTCGTTACTGTTTAGTGAAGGCACAGTAACCATCATAATGAAATGCATGTTTGCTCACCAAAAACAAGAGAAATGGTCATGCTAACAAATGGTCCTCGTGAATATTATTATTTTACAAAAATCTATGATATTTAATTTCACACATCAAATGTAATTATAAATTAAAAGATAGCGCCATACTGACTACTGATAAAACAATTGAGATCTAATACACTTTCAACACACATTTTTCAGATTTTGATAAGATAGCATAAACAAAAGGCAAAACCAAAAGAGTCAAGTCTGGAGAACAGAGAATTGTGGCCACATTGAAGCAACACGGCAGAAGCATTCCGTTTACACAAACCAAATTCAAACGGGAAAGCACAACAAAAGCCAAACGCCACACGCATTTCACAGGTTGAAGGGCGCTAACTCACCTGGGCCGGCGTCATGAGCGACGGTGCCTGTGACAACGAATATTCCGGCGCCGATGGACGCGCCGACGCCGATCAGGATGAGATCAAATAGCCCCAACCGCCGGACGAGGCCCTCTCCAGAGGCGGCGACGGCGGCCCCCGCGGAGGAAACCGGCTTCGTCCTCAGCGCCGAGGACCAGAAGCGGGAGCCGCCGCACGGCGGCTTGGAAGGCGAGGAGGGTGGTGGGGCCATGGCGGGAGGGGGGCTCAGCTGGATTCTCGTGCTTTTTGGAGTCCCACCTGAGAGAAAAGTGGGGACATAAATAGGAGTGAGAGAGAGAAGATGAGGTGTGGTGTGCAACAGAGAATGTATCTGGACGTATTTGTCTGATTTGCTATTGAACGGTGCGTTTGGGAATGTACAAGTGGCGGCGCGTGAATGGCGGGTCCAGTGGGCGTTTGGGGTGGTGGGGTGCAGTCAAATACTATGATAGAAAAGGGGAAATTCCGTTGAAAATTTGTTGGGTCTGGGCAATTATGTCGCTTAACGAGTGCCGGATTGTCTCATCGTATTTTATTAATCAAATTTTATATTTTATATACTCGCAAAAAATAAATATATATTTTGTATTATAAAATATTATGATTGTTTTGTTATTTTTATTTAAAGCATGCTATTTTAGTTTGAGAGTATTGGATATTTTTTTAAAAAATATGATTTGATATAGCATCCACTAACATGTCGCTTGGACCGCTATAAGGTATTAGCTCGGTGGTGGTCGGTGTCAGACCAAATAGTTCAAGTTAACTTGGCCGTGAAGACATATCCAAAAAGACCGATTTCGGGAGGCTTGATGAATGAGTGACCTCTGGGCGATTTAGTCATTAGTAATCTTCGTCCGACTTCAGGGGGTTCGAAGTTGTGACATCAAGGGCATATGGTTTGAGCAGAGGGAGACCTCATCAGATGAGTTAGATAACCGACCTGGCGACAGTAAGGACGGACGCCGACTTCGGTACGCTTGGACGGGAGTTCGATCTCTTGTATATCTTAGTTGGAAAGATTGGCCTTGGGATAAAGTAGGATAGCGCAAAAGAAATTTAGAGACCTTAGGAGAGTACAACTGGCACGAGTAAAATCCTCTATTGAATGGAGGTGTATATCTTCAAGGACACTACGAGATATGGGAAGATCTAGTTAGTTAAGAATAAAGATACAAGAAGACTTCTTACCATACCAGAAGTTTATTGGCCAACACACAGCCCTAGCTATAAAAGGGTGTACATGTTCTTAGTTTTATACAACACATGCTTACTCACAAATTCATATAGTGTCACTTTATCGTTGGACACAAACTGATTTGAGCATCATAGTATTTTTCGCTAAGACCCCCTTTTGCAGGTCATTGGAGGCGACGAGACGGTTCGAGTCAACGTGCAGTTCAGATCGGATCGTGGGACAATTTGCGGAACATGATTGTTTTGTTATATTTGTCTAACAACAACCGTATAATTTTTGAATTGGATGTATCTCTAATCTCGTTATCTAACTCATAAATTAAAAAATGCATTTTTTATTTATTTCATTTTTATGTTTTCCACCATATTATTTAATATAATTTTAAAATATATATATAAAAAATCAATCAATATTGTTGTTGTTATATGAATTCCTAACAAATGATGTTAATAACAATTTAAAAGTTAGGAAATGAATTTTTATAATAATGTATCGAATTGTTTTGAAGTTCTATTATTTTTTCTCCTTCTTTTTATTATCTTGGTAAAAGATCCTTTTTCAAGTGGCTTTTTTCGGCCTATTTATATACTTGGTGTTGGAATGTCCACTTGTGAGTTGTCCCACATTGATTTGATAGGGTAAATGAGCCTAGTTTATAAGCCTAGTGGGTTACTCATCCCATCACCAATTGGTTTTGGGATGGAATCTCACTTGGACTTCATTTGGCGAACCCTCTTATGGTGCGCTTCACCTGTGTGGGACCGCACTCGTTTTGTCCCGTTTGACATGATATCAGTGCGGGTCTACTTTGGGACCTGCGATAAAAAAAATAATAAAATAAAAAAAAATTACCCGGCTTGGTTGGAGGCGTGAGTTGATGAAGGACTCACAAGTGAGGGGGCGTGTTGGAATGTCATTTGTGAGTTGTCCCACATTGATTTGATAGGGTAAATGAGCTTAGTTTATAAGCCAAGTGGGCTACTCCTCCAATCACCAATTAGTTTTGGAATGTAACCTCACTTGGGCTTCATTTGAGCTAACCCTCTTATGGTGCGCTTCACTTGTGTGGGACCGCACTCGTTTTGCCCCCGTTTGACACTTGGTACGATCGATTACTGTTCGTATGCATAGTACAACTGTATGCAGTACATATATTAAGTGGTGACACGTACGTCTGACAGCCTATAGGTTGGTGGTCTTGTCAGTTATTAATGCATAGACAAGTTGCAGCTAATCAGCCAAACATCTGTTCAGACTTCTCCGAATATCTTTGTCGCGGTCTTTGAACTATTTCTTGTTCGGCAGTTTGGGGTTTAACTCTGCAACTTTAACTCCACCGTTGACTATTGACACGTGTTATGCTTAGGTTGGGCGGCAAGTTCGAATGTCGAACAATTTTACTTTTACCAGCAAAATTGTGTTAGCCATTTTTAAGAAAAATATTAATTCAACCAAAATTTAATTCATACCCATTTGAGTATAAAAATATATAAGTTTGGTGATAGCAAAAAAGAAAGAAGAATATAAGTGAAGTGGTAGAAAATGCAGTTTTTAAGTCTTTAAGACAGACATTAGTGGTGTGGAGAATGGGATAATTGGTGAGGTTTTGTCACATTCTCATGAGTATTGACTCTCTTTTGGCATTTACTTCTACACATTGATGACCCTATTCTAGGCTCTAAAGAAAGGAGAAGAAAAATGTCAACGACTTGCATTCGAAAAATGAAACAGTAATATTGAGGCCTATATCAACAATGATTTCACACTGAATCAAATTTTGACCTATGTTTATAAGAGATAGAGTCTGTAAAATATTTTGTGAAATTTTAAAATTATAGTTGATTTAAGATGGAAATTATATTTCTATATAATATGTATTTATACATTTACGGAATGTGACTATTATGGCCAGATTTAAGGTCCGAATAATAATTATATGTTCAATCTCCTAATAAGCGAACCACATGAAGTGTATTTTATACGCAGTTGCGTTGGGCCTATAGACACGACAATCACACATGCTGAACATGTTGGAACCAGGCTCACTCACTACGCCATTATGGGCCCTTGTCTCAAGCCTTAAGCCCAAGCAAAATTTATGTAAATTGCTATGGAATTTATGTGAGTTGTGTGCTCATGACACAATAGTAAAGTTTCATACTATTAAAAAAAAATCTTTACATTCTAAATAGGGAAAAGAAAAGTTATTCTAAGAAATGGGATTCACCAATCAAAATACTCCACAATTTCTTACATTTTATGGATACTAATATTTGACTTGTGCATTTGCACAAATATAAATAAATTATTCCGAGTCTGTATGCATATAATGATTAATTATTTTTCTTTCACTTTTTTGCAGACCAAATTTACAATTAAAAGAGTTGGAATATTTTTTTTTAAATTGCGTTTATCTGATTGGATGTAATGTATATTTTGGTACGTCTTTTATTTGTGAATTATTTATTATTTATTTAGGAATTTCAAATATATTTTTTATTTTCAAAAATAAAAAATTAAATGTAACAACAATAATAACATCTAATCACATTATACGGTCAACACATTATATGGTCAACTGTCATTAATCAAAAGTTAAAATAATTTTCGTAATTTTGAAGTGATGAATATTAATTATTTAATGATTAAATGAAAGATTAAGTACATCAAAATGTAACGGTTTTTGGAGGAAAAATTGTTAAATTTGCCACATAGGTAAAATTAAATAGGTTTTATTAAATGTTTTGAGCTAGTAATTATATATATATAGATTGCATAATTTACATTAGTAGTCTCATTTTCCTTTTCATTTCTTACTAGCAATTTCAAATCAAATAGTTAGGAGATTATTGAATTTTCCAACCCCCACAACTTCACCATCTCAATGTAACTGCAAGAAGTTACACTGCTGTAAAAAAAAAAAAAAAATTCTTTCATACCCTTGCCACGATTTATTCTGAATTTCATCAGTCCAAGGAGATTTATCTCATAAAATTTATCCCAACCCATCCAAGATTAGGACTGTGATTGAGGTATATAGTAACGAGCTCATTAGTCATGTGTTTGTGTAATTGTGACTGAGATATAGAAAGAGTGGACAAGTCACAAGCGGTTTCTTTATAGGCTTTGGCCTTCGCTCTGACATTTCTCTCTGATATTTATACCCTTGCCTGAGTTCTCTCCGACGCCTCCCCTTTATCATCTCTATATAGCTCTCTCTTGATGTTACTGTCATAAAGTGAAGAAAAGGGTCATCACATACATAGGATAGCGTGTGTTTCTCCCCTTTTTCCCTTTATCCCACCTGTGTATTTCTGGGGTTCTGCGGATGTATTAGAACTCCTTTTTTCCCATTAAAGACGATAGATTTAATGCCTGGAATGGAGATATAGAGGTTTGCCAAGAGGCCCACAAGGCTAGCTAAACGAAAACAACACTCTTGCCCCGTTAGCCCGTAATATGACCCTAATCACTCTCTCATGCATCTGATGCTCGTGGATGTATCCTATCTGAAGTCCAGATTCTTGGGCCGTTAGTGAATCCTGATTTGAGGTCTTGTCACACAAAATTAGGGTGTTCGCTTAAGCATTTTTTCTTGCTATTCCAGCGATTAGGACTTTTCGAGGTTGTAGGGCATTTTCGTTTATGCTCATTATTCGGAGCTCTGCTCGTTTGTAGGATTTGGGCTTGTTTTGGAATCACAAGCGTCTATCTGAATTCCGGCTTTCTGTTTGTTAACCAATGGCCTCGGAGAAAACCTAGTCATTTTGTTTCAGCTGGGATTTTTATGCATCTCTTTTCCACATTTCAAGGTGATCGAGTAAGAAAAGAGCCGGCTTTCTGTAAAGTCTCTATCTGAAAGGAAATAGCTTTCGGTTCTAGCAGTGAGTGATAAGGGTTCTTCATTTCGGACTGTAAAATTCGCATTTTCATCGCGATTTAGTGCTCAAATTCATCCTATCATGAGCAGGAGAGTAAAGAGGAGGTATGCCAAAAAGGGTAGAGACAGAGTGGGCATTCATGAGATTGATGATGACAAACTTGGTTCGGATGATGGAGGTTTGCTTGACTGGACTAGGTTGCCCGATGACACAGTAATTCAGCTCTTCTCATGCCTCAACTATCGGGACCGTGCCAGCCTGTCATCCACGTGCCGCGCTTGGCGGGCCCTCGGTAAATCTCCGTGCTTGTGGCAGGCCCTTGATATCCGGGCCCAAAAATTCGATGCTTCGGTCGCCACTTCCCTCTCTTCCCGGTGTGAAAGCCTCCACAAAATCCGATTCCGTGGGCCAGAATCGGCCAATGCCATCATCAACCTTCGGGCCCGGAACTTGCGTGAGATCATTGGTGACAGCTGTGGTAGATTGAATGATGCATCTCTCTCCATGCTAGCAGCCCGGCACGAGGCCCTCGAGTGCATCACCCTCGGGCCCGATTATTGTGATTGGATCACGAGCGAAGCCATAAGAGTGATTGCCATTTGCTGCCCAAGGCTCAAGAAGCTCCGGGTGTCAGGGCTCCGTAACGTGAATGCAGTGGCAATCAATGCCCTTGCGAACAACTGCAGCCTCTTGACGGATGTCGGGTTCATTGACTGCACGAAATTGGACGAATATGCCCTTGGGAATCTCAGGTCCGTCCGATTCCTCTCGGTGGCAGGAACAGATAATATTTTGTGGGACTTAGTCTTGCAGCACTGGACGAGCCTTCCGAACCTGACTGCCCTTGATGTTTCGGACACGGATATTGATCCGTCGACTGTCACTCGTTTTATTTCATCCTCGGCCAGTATGAAAGTCATGTGCGCCCTGAATTGCCCGTCGCTCGAGGAGGACACGAGCTTTGCCTCGAACAAGAATCTGAAGGGAAAAGTTCTGTTGTCTGTCTTCACAGATATTCTCAAAGCAGTGGCTGCACTGGTCACTGATACCCCAAAGGGTGGTGATGGAAATCGTTTCTTGGACTTGAGGAGAAACTCGAAAGTCGAGGATAAAAGGGTCGACGAGATTTTGAATTGGCTTGAGTTTATGATTTCTGTTTCACTTCCTCGTGTTTGCGAGAGTAAGTTTGCTGGTTTAGAGAATTTCTGGCTCAACCAGGGGATATCCTTGTTACTCGATTTCGTGCAGAGCCAGCAGGAGGAAGTTCAAGAGAAGGCGGCCATGGCCCTTGCAACTTTTGTAGTGATTGATGATGAGAACGCAAGCATTGACACTGTAAAGGCTGAGGCCGTTATGAAAGATGGCGGAATACGCCATCTCCTGAATCTTGCCTGCTCGTGGAGGGAGGGGCTGCAATCGGCTGCGGCTAAGGTGAGGCTTCTGGGTTTTGTGCTTCATTGGTTCTGTTTTATGTGGTGTTTTGCTGCTTGAGTTGAACTGGATTTCTAAAGTTTAGATGATTTTATGTTCTTGTACCTGTACGGTAACTCTTGTTCTTTGGAATGTATGAGGAAATAATGCAGTCTGTTTAATCAAGGGAAAAAAAAATGTCTTTCTCAGTTTTTCCCAATTTACTAATTGATGTTATACAGACTGTTTACTCTTTGTTTTGTGCATTGTTAACATTGTGGTTTATGCTCAATCTCTATGTATCCAATGATCTGGTCAAAGTTTTGCTTTATTTGTTGGTTCTTGAATCTTTACTAATTATATTAAGGACCTTAAGAATTTGATATTAAATTTCCTATTGTATGCAGGCTATAGCGACCTTGTCGGTGAATGCGAATGTTGCTAAAGCTGTTGCAGAAGAAGGGGGCATCAAGATTCTTGTAAATCTTGCTAGGTCAGTGAATAGGTTGGTTGCTGAAGAGGCTGCTGGAGGACTTTGGAACCTTTCTGTTGGTGAAGATCACAAGGTTGTGCCCTTTTATTATTATTATTATTATTATTATTATTAAACTCTGGTTTATATAGACTTTCATGCTTTAATTCTTCAAATTTTGACAAAGAAAATTTCATTTATAGGGTGCTATTGCAGTAGCTGGTGGAGTGAAAGCTCTGGTTGACCTTATTTTAAAGTGGTCAGTTTCCAGTGGAGGTGAAGGAGTTTTGGTATGTTGTTATCTATAATATGATAACTGTTTTGTCATGTTATATGGTATTATTATGAATGAAATTCTGGACTAAGTTGATAATATCTTGGTTGACTTTTCAGGAACGCGCTGCTGGGGCATTAGCAAATTTGGCTGCGGATGATAAATGCAGCACAGAAGTTGCTTCAGCTGGTGGTGTGCATGCCTTAGTGAAGCTGGCGAGGAATTGCAAATTCGAGGGAGTGCAAGAACAGGTGGTTAATTGTTTCATTAGGATGTTAGAGAATATATATTGCATATTTGTTTTGCAGCGACATTTTTGCTTGATTAAATAGTGTAGTACCTTTCTTGCAAAAGGGCCCTATCATATGAATTTGTGTTGCTTTGAAATTTTTGTAGTTTTTCCGAATTAATTTGTTGAGAGATTCATCAAGAACTTGCTCGGTGACCAATATCTCTTCCCTGTATTTAATATTTTATCATTTTTTGTTTTCTGTTTCTCTTGGTGAAATATCCTGTAGTTACTTTGTTTTATTAGTCTGAAGGTGATCCTTGAGTGGATTTTGTATTATCAGATGCTGATTAATTGCTTCATCTATCTTTGGCCCATCATTTGATCTGGTAAAGAGCTCTGTGTTTAACCAGTTTCTGACCGATGTTTTTTGACTTTATTGTCCAGGCAGCTCGAGCATTGGCTAATTTGGTTGCCCATGGGGATAGTAATAATAATAATGCTGTTGTTGGACAAGAAGCAGGAGCAGTTGAAGCCCTTGTGCAACTTACTCATTCCCTTCATGATGGTGTCAGGTTGTTATTAATTATTAGTAATAGTAATAATACTTTGGTTTGTATATTTGTACGTAAATTTATGATGTTTCTCACGGTATTTGCATAGTAATGCGTGAGAATAAAATATGCCCATGTTGGTTATTTTGCAGGCAAGAAGCTGCTGGTGCATTATGGAATTTATCCTTTGATGACCGGAATCGAGAAGCAATTGCAGCAGCTGGTGGAGTTGAGGCTTTGGTATGGCATTCTATTATTAAATAATTTCAAGAGAGTTCCTGTTATACTCAAAAATTATTTTCACTTGGTTCAATGTTAAGTTTTAAGATAGCCATTTTTTGAACAGTGTCGAATTAGGCATTAATTTGCTATTAAGTTATTTCATCTGGGCAACTACCATAAATAAATATTATGCTAGAAAAACATTGATCCTTGATTGAAATTTCTGTAAGTCGTGATGTCTTTGTGCTTGCTAAGCTTGCTTTATGGTTAGTGCTACTGGTGGGTGTTGATTAATTAAGCTATCTTGTATTGGAATATCTTGTTAATTGAGAAATCCCAATCACTTATTTCAGTTTTTTACTTTTAGCTCACGTTTATTTAATCTCCCGACATCTTTATGGATTTTTGACAGTCACTTTTTGCATCTCTTGGTAATCAAATAAACACATTTTGGTGACTGTGAAGAAATTATTATTTTTTCTCCTTTCTATTATTGCAAAGCTAATGGTGATCAGATTGACTTAGATGAATGAGAGTATGGAGACTATGTTTTGGTGACACTTTCATTCCCTTTGCCTTTAGTCAGGTGTTCATCTTGATGGTTATCATGAGAGGGATATTATTTATTTATTTAGTTATTTTTTAAAATTTTGTACAAGATACTTCCAGTTCAATCATGTTTATCTATTTATTGATATTTGTTGGTCGATGTTAGGTTTCACTAGCACATTCCTGTGCAAATTCGTCTCATGGGCTTCAGGAAAGAGTTGCAGGTGCTCTCTGGGGATTATCTGTCTCTGAAGCAAATAGGTAAGTTTTGCAGATTTCGTTTCTTTCTTTTTTGTTTTCCTTATCATTTTTCCTTTTTTTTGAAATGATGCATAAATAAATGTAAGTTTTGCAATGTATATATATTTTCTCACCAAGGAGAAGAAAATAGTTATAGAAGTTATTCACTTATTTGAAAAAAGAATAATTAAATCATTTATTGGCAAAGGCTTACAAGTATCCGTTTTAAGTAAGTTGATTGTTCCCTACTTTAATAATAGCATCGCAATTGGACAACAAGGAGGCGTGGCACCACTGACAGCACTGGCGAAATCTGATGCCGAGGTAAGTTTTAGTAGTAAATATTAAATACAGCCTTTTATTTGTCATCTGAATTCATTTTTCTTCTTACTTCCCTAATTAGTTATGATTTACGATAATTAATTATAAATAATTATGGCTTAATCAATTTTTGCATTTAAAATTCCAGGACGTTCATGAGACTGCAGCTGGGGCCCTTTGGAATCTTTCTTTCAACCCGGGCAATGCTCTTCGTATCGTAGAAGAAGAAGGCGTGCCTGCCTTAGTTCATCTTTGTTCCTCATCTGTATCAAAAATGGCACGTTTCATGTCTGCCTTGGCACTTGCCTACATGTTTGACGGAAGGTGCTTTTTCCAAACTAAAAGAAATAACATTTTAAATTATCATTATTATTATTTTTCTTGGAAAAAATCCCTTTTGTTTTTTGTTTTAATAATAGTGGTTATATATTATTTACAATATTAATATTTTTCAAGAATGGACGAAATTGCACTTGCGGGAACATCGACTGAGGGCGATTCCAAAGGCGTGAACTTAGATGGGCTTAGAAAATTAGCTATGAAAAACATAGATGCGTTCATGATGAGCTTTTCGGACCCTCAAGCGTTTGCTGCTGCTGCAGCCTCGTCGGCACCTGCACCGTTGGTGCAAGTAATCGAGTCGGCCCGCATTCAAGAAGCGGGCCATCTCAGATGCAGGTTAATCTTTCTCGAACTTTCTTGTTTGTATATGAGTTAAGCGTACTTTTTCTAGTATATAATGAAATTCTGTCAAGTCAGATATGAAAGGTGGCTATCTGATATTTGCGCTTCAAGAAAAAAAAAACAAAAAAAAGAAAGAAAACTCGGCTTCCAGGAGGAAAATTTTGTTTCTTTTTGTTCCTGTTTTCTTTTTGTAGAATATTTATCCTCAATCACGAATATTTATATATTTTTTTTTTCTGGGTTTTTGTCCAGTGGGTCCGAAATTGGAAGATTTGTTACTATGCTGCGTAACCCTTCCCCTACGCTGAAAGGATGTGCTGCATTTGCTCTTCTTCAGGCAAATAATCTCTCTCTCTCTCTCTCTCTCTCTCTCCCTCATATATCCATTTTTCGTGTTTTTCAATTCATGATTAATGTTTTCACCATGGCAAAAAAAAGGTATAATAGTTATCTCCAATTCCACATTTGGATTCTTGCTCCTTTCTATCGAACCATATACGGTACATCCAAGTTCAAAACTTGAACCACCAAATTGTATTTAACGTATCTTTTTTATGATTATTAATTTTTTGTACTTTTCGAAATGTAGTTTACTGTTCCTGGTGGGAGGCATGCCGGGCTCCACGTACAGTTACTCCAGAATTCGGGTGCCACGCGTGTGCTGCGTGCAGCAGCAGCTTCTGCAAGTGCTCCTATTGAAGCCAAAATATTTGCTCGAGTTGTGCTTCGCAACTTGGAGCATCATCACCAAGCCGAATGTTCTGTCTGAACAAAGAAAAAAAGGATGTGAAATGTTGAAGAGTTCATGTGGGAACTATTTTCTGGTTAAAACTACATCTCATTGGTGGTTCTGCTGTGGATTATGTTTGAACTATTTTTGTTTTTTCTGGTTTTAGACAAAGATGTTTTGCTGTAAAAAAAGTTGTTGATGAAGTCTGTTTATTTTTTTGTTTTTCTCTTGAAGAAAGAAAGCCTCATAGGTGGTTGTGTGCATCTCTTTCTGATATATATAATTTAATTTAGGCGATTGTTTTGATAGATATCTACATGCTGTTTTTGGTGATGTTATAATTTTGTGAGCTGACAAGTAATGTAATGTGGACTTTTGTAGCTGCATGTGATAAGTTTGTCCATGAGAATATACATTGCATTGTTATTAGGTCCATATGTAATCTCCAAATATAAGCTGTGATTCTTTTTGAGTTGCAAATTTCTTGATTAAGTAATTTTATACAAAAAACTTCAAAAGAATGGTCATAGCAAACTTAAATTTGTTTGATTAAATGCCTCTCTCTCTCTCTCTCTCTCTGCTTTTAGAATTTAATATGATGTTTATACAAGTTTAACAAACTATGTTTCAGATTTACAAAATTATCTTGAGATTTTCATAAATAATCCTATTGAGGTTAAACCAAACCTAGACCACCTATCAAAATACATATATTCAACAATAAGGCCATAGCACAAAAACTGATATCACAAACAAGTTACTAAGAGAAACACCATTTTTCATTAAATTTTCCAATCACAACCCTCTACTGAAGGATATAACCAGGCTCTAAAAAATCATGCAATTTGAAAAAAAAAAACATTATTCAATAGCTTCTACGATACTTTTTATAATTAAAGCGCGCGTCTTTTTCAGGCATCTTCATGCATTCTGGACCAGCTCCTCTGTGTGTGCATACACCAGCCGATTACCCTTCCACAGAAGCAGATTAGTCCTGCATTTATTTATTATAAAATAAGGATAAATATATTTCATATATAAGCTTATTACTCTAGATTGCTATTTTTATTTTTTTGCAAAATTAAGAAACAAGAATAGGCAGAGTGAAAGAAGCTTGCATGTCAATCATGAATCTTCCAGCTTTAATAGCAGGAGTCTCAAACTTCAAAGTAATCTGGAAAAGAAAGAAGAAAATTAGAAAAAAAGGAAGAAAATAAGTATAAGAAGAGAAGCCGTACATCGGTTTTTAAGAGTGCAGAAATTATTTTAAGGTTGTAAGGACATTTTTTTTTCTTACAAATTTGGCTCCAAAGTTTGAGTTACAGTTGATGCAGGAAGCACTAGCTGTAATTTGATCAGTTATGACCGAGTAGTTTTGGCCCAGAGCCACATTGACCCTATAAAATCGTAATCGAATTTACAGTAATAACTAACATTGTAATAATGTTACGTTTAAGAAGATTGTTCAAGATTTAACATATGCGATTATTAGTTATACACAAAGAGTAGCTTTAACAGAAATAGTGATATATCATTGTAAGGTTCTCNGAGAATGATTGAGAGGTAATAAGATGAAAAGATAAAAAATTGGAATGGCAATTATGTCGCCTCATATTCACAGTATTTTCCAACATTTAGTGTATGCTTATAACACACAGATAAACGACATCAAAATCAGATTACCTTGTGGAGCAATTCTTGCTGCAAAGCAACATGAGTTTTGCATTGACGGCACAAGTAGAAGCTCGCATCCTCGTTTTGGTCAAAACGAACAAGAGTAGGAGTTTCCATTTTCAGATTCTAAGCCATGCAAAGCAAAACAAAGAAAAAAAAATGTTTGAGAAAAAAAGAAAACCAAAGAACTAACAATATAATAAAGAGATAAATACCGATGAATAATGCTAGAGTTAATTGGCTTTCTTGCAGTCTCCAAAGAGTTGTTTTATTTATAGTGGTGAAAGGAGGGGGCGTATAATTACGTTGGACCCGTTTGGATATACTCGTATTTACAAGCTTGTTGAGAGTCCGGCTAGTAAGTTTAGAAAATGCCTCTTTGTTGAGATAAATTCAAATTAACATTATGAAATGTCATGACAAAATTTAACATAGAGTATTAATTCGCGATAATAATGTACGATTTCTTTTGACGTCACATTTCACCACGCGATAACATCACAATTAATGCCTGCTAAATAAAGAAAAAAATATTTTTAATAACATAAATGAGATTTTTATCTCTAACTTTCCGAGCAAAGTTGTTAAACAGTATAGAAAGTCGCCATGCAGAGATATTCCACGTATTTCAAGTATAGACGTTACACGATAGCCAGAAGCACGTCATTTTATAAACAACGAGGGGTAATTTTTTATTTCATTTTTCATATTTTCTCCTCTCATTCATGTGATATTGCTATATCTGTAAGTCGAAAAGTAATATACAATATTACACAAATAGTATTATGTGCCGTTCTAAAATTCACTAAAATCAACAGCACAGCAAGGTAAAAATACAGCGAATCAGATTGCAATGGGGATACTTTAACTTACAAATTGTGATGACTTGATATATGCACCCAAGTTGTATCCATTTAAGGCTCGACCGACATAGGCCCGTTTTCTGTCCAGTCTAGGGTTTGTAACTGCCAAAGATGATACATATCATTTAGTAGAAAGCCCACAAGAAACAAGACATAAGTCGAAAGCATATGGAAAGTGAGCTTATAACGGCTCGAAAGAAAATGTTAGAAAGATTGTGTGGTTGTGTTGAAACATAGTTAATCATGAGTTGAAGATAAGATGTCTTGTCTGTTAGAAAACACACAACATTTATCTTTTCTAATTTCTAATAAAAAGAGTAAAGAAAAAAAGAATGAATAAGAGGAAGATTTGTTGTATAAGGGGAAAACTACCTCTAAAGTGCATATCATTAGTAAAACTAATTTGTATGACTTGAAAATTTTGAAAGAGAGAGAGAGAGAGAGAGAGAGAGAGAGAGAGAGAGAGTACCTTGTATTAATGATGTAAACCAACTGCAGTTAGGATCAACAGAAGCAAAAAGTGCAGTCTCATGAAGTTTGAGTCAACCTAATTATTTCCAACATAGCAAGTATACAATTTTGCTACATGTATCACTCTCCATAAATTGTGTACAAAGTAGAAGTTACTAGCCTGACTTAGATTTGCCCAATCCAGTTCAGCTCCAAGCTCGAACAATTTCAATAATAAATTCAGATACCGATCATAATAAGAACAGAGAGTGTGCTCATGATGCCTCCTTTCACATGCATATTCAAATATTTCAGAAATAGACAACATTTTGTACCTTATTATGGGAATATGACTCAAAGTCATGTTTTCCATACAGTCCAATTTGCACAAGTAATAGAGCATTGCATATTTGAGTATGCGTACAGAAATCACTACAATTATAGATAAACACATGTTACGATTCGTGTATAAGCTTGGAGCCGTAAAACCACCGATTGAACGATTATGACATGGTACAGAGACTTAATTGTAGTTATTTATTCCTCAACTCGTATATCTAAGATTTCGTATATATCCCATTCAATATGAAGCAAATAGCTTAAGAATCTTTTCCTCATGGCCAGACCAAGTATGAAATTGTTGGAGCACTGTTTGTTGTGTGGTCGAGTTATCCACCAAATATGGAACTATATATTTCTTCATTTCGCCATATGAAATGTCGAGATGTCCCCCAGACACGTTTACGAACTTCACTTTCCCAGCTTCGTCCAATGTTTTCAGACCAATCCAATCTTCTGTATAGAGAGTTGTCTGAGACATTATCAACACATGCTGTTAGAAACTAATAAGTCATATGTACCAATATACTGCTCTTGTGTATTGGAAGTACAAAACTGAAGGACCTGTTGTGCAGGCAAAATTGTTTCCCACGAATCATCTGGGAAATATCCAAACCAAGAAGTCTCTCTCGGCACCAAAATGTTGTCCTTCTCGAACTAAAGAGTGAGGAAGAAATTTGAGCTTTGTTCATAATAAAAATAAAAAATAAAAAATAAAATAAAATCAAGCACCGAGATAAGATGTCAGGAAATGTGACTGAAAAACCTGAAATCCAGACTTACCATGATAAGAACCAAGTTTTCCAAGCTAGAAAATCGCTCCTTGTAAGTAGAATTCTTATATATTTCGTTATTAAGCTTAGGCAGGAAGCTGCATCCTTCTTTGTAGTCATTCAGGTCCTATTAAACAGAACACGATAAGAAAGGTTTCATAAATAAAGCTCTCGAATAAGTTCGTTATGAAAACATTGAAGACTAGATCATCAACTAGCAAACAATATAACTTCATTATTTGCACCTTCAATTGAGTTGCCAAGTTCTTTTCACATTATTTAATTAGAGAATCACATATAAAACATTACATATTCAGAAAAAAAATATTTTTCTAGAGAAGGTAATATATGTCTACGCACATTTTCCATGCTTTTGGTATCATGAGGGACCTGATCCTTGTAGAGGAAAAGTCATTATTTGTATTTGAAGAGTTAAAGCCTCGAAATGCCATTAGAATTGAGATTATAAATTATGAAGTTAAAGGGCAGACTAACATGGAACTAGATTTATCGGTAGGCTACATTTGTAAAAAGAATCAGATTACTCACCGTTGGGATTTTGATAAAACTGGCAGGTGCCAAATGTTCCTGAAATTACATAAAATCTGTGGAAATTCATATGGTATCACAAGAAGGAAATTTAAGGCAATAGTTTAATTTATTTAAAAAAAAAAAAGAAAAAAGGAAAGAGTAACATATAAATTCAAAAGTAACTTGCATCACGAAATAAGTAAAAAAATCTGAATGATATTCCTAAACTTGAGTGAGTGCAGAACTTGAATGACAACAACATAAAAAAATGAATGGAGAAAATTTGGACCTGAACAAAGTCGCTGTAAATTGCAAACTTGATCAGAAAGTCCACAAAAATGCAAACCAAAGCCGACTGCAAAACCAAGACAATATTTTCAAAAACGACCAATAAACAGAACTCTAGCATATATTTTCAAAAATCAACTAATCTATTGATTTACTATTTCACTCGACCATTCGCAACTGAAGAAATAACATGATGATGCAAAACACTTAATACAGCTAGAAAGGAATACTCACTCCACATAAGGGAACAGCTGCTATTCCAGCATGCGGACCTGCCAAAGATATTAGACTTCTCACCTGTGTGCCAATTTGGAAATATTTCAGGTGTGCTGCTAAAAGTAGTAAAGTCATAAGAACACTAATGTGATAAGACCCATGAGAAATAATTATAAATCGATGAATCTAAAAAGATTCTTTTGTTCTAATTATTACTATCTTTTTTCGATTTATTTAAGATAGAACTTACTGGAGGTCCACCATCACATAACTCAATGACCCCTCTGCCAACCAGATTACCCTGGAAAGTACAAAATTAGATATCATATATGATACAACAGAAAATATTGAATTTTTTCAAAATGTTGGATCCTGGTTATTTTTTATTTCCATGCACATCAGAAAGAATATGAAAACTACTGCAATGAAATAAGAAGATTCTGCACTGGATGCCTAAGATACCAAGCTCGTGATGGGTGGGGATATGATTTTATTTTTTGTTTTTTCACCTGGGAAAGTCCAATAATGTTGTAACCTTCTTTGAGTTCTTCCATTTCCTTCACCTGTAAGTTGAAAGGTTCTGACTGAGATGGAATTTATTTTCATGTCCACTAAAACGAACACTTCATACAAAGCTATAATAATACCTTTTCACAAGCAATGGCTGTCTGCATCATAGAATCAAAAGAAAAATAATGTTAATTGATATATTTACGTGCACCGAGAGCCATATTTAACCGTCAAAATTCACAAGGAATCGACTAACTTGTTTTAGGAAGGGCATTGTCCATGAATCCCAAGCACCATTTCCGATTTCACTGAAGAGAAACATAAGAAAATGTCATGATAACATTAAGAAAAGTCCAACATGTATCAATATGCAAAATCATATTAAGTGAAACAGTTTGCATCTATAAGCCCATGGCTTAACTTCAGTTAGGCGTGAATATATACGCATATGAGCCAAAAGTTGGGTTAATTATTTTTTCCTGAAATAGTAAAAATTCAACCTTTTTGCATAAAAGAATCATCAACTGCTGCTTTCTTGGATTAAAAATCAAGTTTGAACTCCCACAAATCATAATGGTCTGATTGGTACCTTCCAATTACTAATCTACCAGCAAATATTAGATATATGTCCAAGTTTAAAGCACATATTAAATCCATTTTCTAAATGAGATACAAAAGGCAAGAAGAAACAGAAGTACTTTTAATTATGGTAGTCATTGCAAGAGCTTACATGCAATATCCTTGTGAACCTGACCAGTCACTTAGAAGAGTGGTGAAATGTGTTATTCCTTTGTTTTTGCAATTGTCAGATATTCCTGCAAAATGTAGTTTAGTTTTTTCAGAAGACACAACTAATGGCTCGGTCAGGCTTCATAGGATGACCTAAACTGTGCCGCCACTCGCAAGACAATAAACACTATAATTCGGCTGTAGGTTCAATAAAATTTATTTTAAATAAATATATACTAAAAATTGATGTGGAGTAAGAAAGGGAATGGTTTGTAGAGTGTGGACATGCCCCATCAAGACATAAATATGAACCGGAACAAGAGTAAAGATATCGTCTTTTTCATTCTTCCAGAATGAAAGATAACCCGTATGAATGTACAAACTAACAAGAAAAAAGACACTAAATTGATCTCCAACAAACCACGACGCAGTGCAAACAAAACAGCATTGTACAATATTATGCTAAACTAACAATTACAGCAAAAGAAGCAATAACTAACTGGGCCAAGAACAGAGCTTTATACAGTAACATAATACTCACTCCAATAAAAACAATCAGTACTTACCACCATAGGAAAACAAAAGAAAAGGCAACAAACAGCATATTTGAAACTCACAATATGACCAAATAACAGCTCAAAAGCTAACGTAGCATATAAATTTACCGTGAAAAACGACAAAGGGCACAGAAAGAACAGTTCTTGGAACCAAAACCAGTGCAAAAATTGAAAATATTCTGTATATTATCAAGACATACTTAAAAGAGGCCATTTTTTTTTTTTGTTGAAGGTAATCTCAGTGGCCTATTTTACTTCAAGTTTGGGGTGTTATCTAGCTTGTGTGTGTGTGGAAATATCAAATATGTGGACTGGTTTGCTGTGAAACCCCAGAAATGTGGACATAGCTAAAACTAACAGGTGAACATTCAAGATTGGGTTTTTTTATCTGCAGACCCGCAGTTATTGTTACTTTTTGTTTTCCCTTTTTTTCAGTGTACATACATGATCTATTGCTGATTTGAACTAAGAAAATTCTTTGGTGACTTTACTGTATGTAATTTTATTTATTGTGAAATAATAAAATGTAACTTTTTAGATTTTCTTTTCCTTTTACATAATAAAAGAGTTGATAAAGTTTTGAGGCACGTGGGAGATAATTTGTTGTAATTGACTTCTTTTGCACATATTTTGACTTTTTAGTAGATAGGAATAGAATCCTGTTGGGCTCGGGATAGGAAAGACATAAATATATGTGGACTAAGGTTTAATATGAACAAAAAAAGGCGTTTGCTTTATTTATTTAATAAAATAAATAGAGAAAAAAAAATTGTGTTCAATAGGCCAATTGTAAATATATTTTAACCATTGTTAATTAATATGATTATACTAATGTGCTATATCTTACACGTGTAATTCAATCATATATAAGAAAGAAATAATCGTTTTTTTTATAATCATATTTGTCTTGTATCCAATTGCAATAAAATATATCATTCCAAAGAACATTTTACTAAATATAACCTTTCAAGATGTAAAACAATTAACAAAAAATTATTAGAGACTGATTCGATTAATTGACAACGAATAGCCAATCAAATAATCAATTTTATAATTAAATTAGGAAATTATGTAACATGGTTGATACATAATTAATTGTTTGATATGTAAAAATATAATTTTTAATCCAATAAAGTTATTATTTGAGCTTTTCCGAAATACAAAAAAAAAAAAACTAATTATAAAACAATTAAAATTAGAATTTTTACCGGGATAAAATTTCTACCGTAAAAACCTCTAATTTAATCCTAAAACAACCAAACAAAGGCTACCAATCCTCCCAATAAATAACCAATTCTAAAAATTATATACTGAAAAAAAAAAGCATCAAATTCAGATTCAAATCACCAGATAAATTGACTATATAATGATAAAGTTCCCAAAATACTAAATACATATAAAATTGAGTAAATAAACAGGTGGCAATTGGTCGGCCTTGACCAATAGGCCAGCTCAGACAGCAGAAAAAGAGCTATTTATGAGGTTCACTCGCTACAAAAAAGCCCCTACCGTACAAAAAACCCAGAGAGATTTTGGCCCCCCAAACCCATCCCAAGCGAGAGCTTTGTTTTGCTCCGGTTGACCGTTAACAGTGGCGACCGGCAGAAGCAGTGCCGAATTCCGGTAGAGGTACTCTTTTATCGATTTTCGTGGCTATTTTCTTTTGTAGGCGTTTAATTGTTTTTTGAAACCCAGTTTCCTGATTGAGGAGTTTTTATCACTGTTTATGTTAATGGGATTTGTTTTATGCGTAGAGATGATGTTTTGTTGAACTGGGTTTGTCGAGGAGATTTGATTTGTGAATCAAGATTTTTTTTTTTCGATTTCCTTAATTTTTCAGCTGTATTTTAGTGATCGACCTGGTTGAAGTTTTAAACTTTGACTGTTCCTCTCTCTCTCTCTCTCCCATACCCCTCCCCCCACCACCACCACTAGCGTTTGTTTGAAAAAAAAACTCAATTTCAGAACTTTTCCCCAAAAAATAATTGACTTGTATTTATGTGCATATATTGAATTTGAATAATGTATCAAAACAATAGGACTGGATGATGTCAATTAAAAGATTCCAACTTTTTGATCTTATATATTGAGAAGACCTTAAGAACTTGACAGAAAAGTGGGACATCAACTAATTATGGTATGGGTTTGCATAAAAATGTAAACAAGCAAATGACAGGGTTCATTGTTTCGTTACCATAATCACCTTTTATAACTCTTGGCCGTTCATTCAAGCCATGCCGGAAAACAAATTGTACTTGATGGTGCCATGGTTTCGTTGAACTTGGCCTCTAACAGTTGAAGTAGTATACATGTATAGTGTGAGAGTGTTTTGCTTGGGATATTGATCTAAGTTTCGATTTTAAATTGAGGATATTAATAGAATTTTGATGCTTTTGGTTAAGACTTCAAAATAAAACTGAAATTATGAGAAGATTCGGTGGATGTCGTCGGTGTTAATAGAATTACACAAATGTGGTTTGACAATCTTTATCAGATTCTACAGACATAGATAGATAAGCTTGATCGTGTATCTAACCAGATTTTATTGCATGAATTTAGTTCTTATAAGTGCAAGTAGCTGGCCTTGATTGGTGATAATATCAATTGTCATACATAAATGCATTTTCATATGCTTACGCAACTCATATATGTCTACTCTATGTACGCATTCATGTGTCAATGCTGTGTCCTGCGTGTCTCAGAGGGCGACTCGCTTCTTGGACCAGAATAATAGTTGATCGTATATCATCAACTTTGTAGTTGGGTGTATTAAGGGGCTTTGTGTGGGATATTATTAGGACTAGGCAGACTAACCTAGAATACAAGCCTTCTGTCCAATTGTTTGGTTCTTTCTTATATTGAATCGGTCAATATATTTATTTTGTGTTTCTTTTTATCCAGTGCCACCAGTGTAAGTTCATGTTCTGTGTGAGACATGGAAATGATGTTTGAGAATATCTCATTTTTGTTCTAGTGAACTTTTATTTAAAACTTATTTTATGTTCAGTTATCTGAACGTATCTTTTCCGAGTTGTTTTTTTTTTAACATATGTTAAGTTTGCAGTCCTCTTGTTAAGATGCTTTATCTTTCAACATAATTCTTGATATCCCCAGAAGCTGATATCAAGGTATTATCTTATTGAATAAGAAGCATGCCTTTACCATTTAGGGTTCACTGCTAAGAAATTAGTGGACGAATTTGCTTTAGCTGAAAATTTTATCATATCAGTTGTTAATCTTTGTGAATTCTGTGCAATCCATTTGTGAGCATTAAAATTTCAACCTCATTGCACTTCATTAAAATGCTATAGGCCCCGATGCTAAAGACTAGTTAGAAGCTAAGAATGGAGGTTTCAGCATACAAGGCGGATGGGATTTTCGCCAAAGAACTTGAAGACGAGCTCATGAAGTTTACTGTGAAATCTGAGGACAATGGCGGAGTTGAAGAACCACCCTTGGTTAATCAGACTGATCAGAAAAACAATGAAGTTGAGGTCAACATAACAGAATGTACAAAATCTATGGGCAATAAGGCTTTTATACCACAACACCAGGACTCGACTGAGAGTGAGGGCTCGAGTTCATTTGATGACAGTGATTCGGATTTCGAGAATTTTGATAGCTTGGGTAACTCTGAAGCTTTGTCCGGTTTTTGCGGTGACATAGATGGATTTGGTGATAACTTTAGGTATTTAATTATATTCTGTTTACTTTATTTCTTATGGTGGTGTTTTGGATCCCATGATATGTGTTTTCAGAGTTACTTTCTGTTAGTTGAATGCAAACCCCACATGAGTATTTGTAATACTCCAGTACAAGTGGAGATTTTGTTTAGGCTGACTCTCGCGGCAGTTTCTGTTGTTAAACCTAAAAATTTAGTCTGTGTTGCACTGAATTATACTTTATATGATATTTTGATTACACTTGCTTATAGCTTATATGTTGTTCTACGGCATGTGATCTTTTCGAGTATCGTTAATTCTTTGGATTCGTTTGATAGGGTTGAACTGGTTTATATTCCCCAGTAAGAGGCATCAAACTCTATTTCTGCTTGCTGATAGTTTAGTTTGATACATGAGGGCATCTCATTTTTCTTCATTTGACTTACAAAATGTAGTTAATAACATGTTTTAAGTACTTTAACGAATTTTCATTGTATCTTCTTTTCATGTTTATTATCATGCATTGCCACTTCTGGTCATTAGGAAGAAAAAACTGACAGCTCACTGGAGATCCTTTATCCAACCAATCATGTGGCGCTGTAAATGGACTGAATTGCAAATCAAGAAGTTGCAGTCCCTAGCCCAAAAATATGACAGAGAACTTGAAGCCCACAATAAGCGAAAGCAGATTCAGTTAGAAGACACGTCATTGGAAGATGGCGTGAAGTCAGTCCCATTTTCGCGGACGACTGCCACAGATGACTTGTTCAAGAGGAAGAAAAGAAGAATGAAAGAGGCAACTACAGATGTAGCAGAATATATGTCCCGTCATAACCTTTTTTCGTATTATGGTAGAAATGTTTTCTCTAATGCTAATCAAGGGTTATCTTTGGTTTACCTGATTAGCTAAAAATAATTTACATGGCATGTTGCAGAGAACAAGAAGAGTTCTATTGATGGTGCCTCAATGAGTAACTTGTCAAAAAGTTCAGGTGAGAACTGAACTTTTGTTCTTTTCGGTCTTTTACCTGCCTTGGTGTGCATGTTGAGCTAATATTAAGGTTTAGTAATCATGATTAACTACTTACTGTTGAAATTACGGCATGACTTCTTATTGAATTGGGATAATTACGAGACACCCCTCAGGCTTCGAGTATTTGCAGAAGAATATAGAGAAGTTTTTAAAATTACATAAAATACTCTTTTAAGGTTTTCTCGAATCCTAATTTTGAGGGTTTAACTTACTTCTATAAATGTAAAGGGGGTTCTGAAACATTTTATGAACGGGAAAATTATAAAACATAATCATTATCAAGGCACAGGGGTTTTTCTGTAATTTGGATTTTTTTGTGTACCTATCCTAAACCTCGAGGACACATTTTGCTATAATCCCTCTTCTTTGATTTTGTAGAGTTAAGATGCATGTGATTTATGCTTTTAGAATATCGACCCACTTTCCCAGAATCTTTCTAGAGAAATCATTTATGCTTTACATGAATTTTCTCTTTCTTTTATGTTGTAAAAAAAAAAAAAGCTGCCCAGAAAGCAAACATAGATGAAGAGGTTTGGACAAATGACGACCTATCGACTTTTGTGGCTGGAGATGGTGATAATTCTTTAGAAGAAATACTTAGAAAGATCGAGCTTTTACAGTCGCAAGCTGGCCAGCTGAGGAGCAGGGTCAATAGAGTTATTCAAGGAAATGCCGAAAAGTTCCATTTTGTCGATGAACTCTTGCCCATGCCTTTTGAAGCTCCAACTGCAAGCAATGGTGATGGTATGGCTGTAGGAACATACATTGCATCTCAGCTTATGTCCGAGTATAACATGGGCGATTTACATGCCTCTGAAAGTGAAGTTACGAATCACGGTGAAGGTGTTCACAATGCTAATGCAAGTACAGATCATGCTCCTTTTGCAGATTCGTACAGAAACGTGAGTTTTTTTTTCTTTTCCTTTACTTTTTGTTATTATGTTTATTATTTATTCCATTCTTGGTGTGCATATTTTCACCGGAAAGCAATGAATCTTTACTTTGAGAGCATGTGTGTGTGTGTGTGTATAATTTCCCTTTAAATGCAGTATAACCTGCTGACGCCTTTCATGCATAGTGTGTTTCCTTAAAACGATAAAAGAAAAGCTTAGAATCTTCCAAATTTCAAAATTACTATAATAGACGTGTTTCTACTCTTACAAAATTGCTCGAATTGAGGGTTTAGTTGTAACACACATCTCAAGAGGATGTTTTTAATTTGTAATGAAGTGCTTCCTCTCTCTCTCTCTCTCTCTGTGTTTTTTCTTCTTCTTTTGTCTGTAACTATCTGTTGTATATTCATACTCAAAATTCTGGCCTCATAAAATGAATAATGGATTCAGGTTGAAGATGGAGCGCTAATCGACAACCAGAGGGTCAAAGAAGAGATTAATTTTGAGGAAGTGATTATTAACCCAAGCCAAAAGCCTCCACTGAAAACCATTGTGCCCGTTAATACCATCAGTCCCCAACTCGCAAGTGAGCCGAATTTGCCGGCAAACAATCGATCATCTCCAAAAGTACGGTCTGTTTCAAAAACAACTGCCCCAAGAACAAAACGAAAGAGGGGCTGGAAAAAGGGCGTTCGTCGCAAGCCTCGAAGGTCCACAGGTAGTTAGTTAGCCTGAGGTTCAAGCAAACTCATGAGGATCAAGAAAGTGAATAAACATAAAATCTGGCTGGCAATATGAACTACATGTGTGTTTTTGTTGGGGAGAAAAATGTTGATCTAACCTTTTATTTTTTTCTTTTTCCGGTTTTCCTTTTTTTTTTCGAGTTTTATTTTCTGAATATGTTTCTATTCTTTAGTACATATTTATGTCACATGTTTGATTTATGTGAGAATTGAAAATTCTGTCTTGTGAGTGGTTTTGCTGAATCTATTTTATGTAAATCTAATTAGCTATTGTTATTTTTATCGACATCTTTTTTTCCTTGTTTGCTGGTTATCATTTTTGATCATGATGTGGATGTGAGTAAGGTTCTTTAAGCTATAGTAATGGACTTTTGGAGAAAATGGCACATATTCAAATTTCAGACTGAATTTTATGTATGGTGAAATTCTTGATACAGACCAAAATATTGGCTGTTATTAGGCTCATGATGCTATATTACCAATAAACAACTTCCTAGACAATTTTACAAAAACAAGAGCCATTATTGTGGCTGAAGGCACAAAAATAACATCCGGGATTGCTTTGATCAGCTTGAGCTGTGGCAGGCTCTCGCCGGCTCTCTTGGCGGCCATGGCTGCCGGAGGAGTGACTATTCCGGTGACAAGGGTAGAATCGTCTAATTTGCTTAGGTTCACTTTTTTCTTCATGAAGTCGATGAAAATTCTCTTCTTTTCCGGCTCGTTGGCAGCTTTCCACTCATTGAAACAAGCCTGTTGTTATTCGATCCGAGTTATAGAAAGACCAAG